ATCTCTGCTTTTTGCATCTTTTCTTGCCACTAAGCAACTCTGAGAAACGTCTGGCTTCATTTCATTAGTAGCTCCCCTTTGGTCACCAAAGACAGCAGAAAAACAGCAGATAGATCCTCCATAGACTTCTGCAGATGAATTGATTGGAAACAGCTACCAGGTTTGATATCTGAAACTACCAAGAGCATGTGCATTGCTGAGTAACTCACTTTACTTCTGCCTTATCTCAGGTTCTTCAGGGCAAAACATACACGTAGAAAAAGGAAAAAGACACCACGTACTTGGGCATTTACATCTGGCTCTCAAAGCAACCTTCTAGTCCTTGAAGGAGCTTACAAGCAGGAGTGGGACTGACTTGTTGCATGGTCTGATAGTGATAGGACAAGGGGGAATGACTTTAAACTAAAAGAGGGAAGATTTCAGCTAGGCATTAGGAAGAAATTTTTTACTCAGAGGGTGGTGAGGCACTGGCACAGCTGCCCAGAGAAGCTGTGGGTGCCCCATCCCTGGAAGTGCTCAAGGCCAGGCTGGATGGGGTCCTGGGCAGCCTGAGCTGGCAGCTGGCAATCCTGCTCATGGCAGGGGGATTGGAGCTAGATGATCTTTTTGCTCCCCTCCAACCTAAGCCATTCTGTGATTCAATGATATGGTGATTAATGGGCACCAACCACCTTTGCTGCCTTTCAGCAGCCCTCTCTGTTCTGTTACTACCAAAGGTGACACAAGAGCCAGCAACAGCTTCATTACTGCCAGGAGCTCCCAAATGTATGGACGGTTCCTCTTCTGAGTGTGCAAACAAGGCTTCCTGAGCACAGCCCAGTGCCTAGCACAGATTACCTGAGCTCCCTACACGTCAGTGAAGTCCCAGTCACCCATGGCATGAGTGACCAATCCAGAAAGGCTTCTTTATGTTCATTCAAAAAACACGCTTCCTTCTATATCAGGAGCCTCTGGCATTCCTCACATGCTCTTACACTGACCCTACCTCCTGCTGTGTGCAAACTCCACCGAACCAGCCCCACAGCCAATAAAAAAGGTAAAAAACTTCTTCAGACTCATATGGCTGAAACGGATGCAGATCCCTGGGCCTCCTCTCCTCCAGGCTCAACTTAATTAGGGAGCAGCTAGCAAACCACAAGTGTGCTCACAAAAGAAGCTTGCCTCTGAAGGGCTTTGACTGCAGCCCTTTGTAACTAGTCATAAACATCTGGTGCCTGGCGAGTTTGTCTGCTTCTTGGAAGGGGTTTCCAAAGACAAAATTCCTGTAGCTTGCACCTGAATTCTCCACAGTGCACCGTATACCACTCAGATCCCCGGCTCCTTTTGTAAGCTGCCAGCTTTGCAAAAAAAGCCATTTCTGGCAGTGCTTTCTGTATCATAGCCCCCCACCCACTCCAGACATTTCAAACAGTATGCATAGTCCCACGGGGAACAATTGTTCCCCAGGTTTCCTCTTGCATGTCAGCAGCTTGATAAGCAGTCTTGCAAATTCAAATGATAGCTCTGGTTCCGGCTCTGTTGGCACGATGAATCAGAGCCCGCAGTGCAGACTCCCTGACTCAGAGGAGGAGGAAGTAAGGATAATGCTTTTCTCCTTCAGCAGTCCTTTTGCCATTCACGTGCATGCATGCATGAGTGTGTAGCTGTGCTCCGAAGCCAATCTCAGGGAGACTTCCTTAAGCATCTGTTGAAGGTTGAATGATCTCATGTGCAGCTTGTAATGATGGCAACTAGCAAAAATTGTTCCCATCTGAAAGCTGCCCAGCGCTGCATGATCCAAAATGAGCTGCTGACCTCAGAAGAGATCCCAGTGGACAAAGCACCACATCACAGAAGCTCGCTCTGCCGCAAGCACCACTAATTGTCCCCTTGTCTGCAGGCTGCAAGTGAGAGCAGCTTCCAAAGGGCAGGGGAACTGTGCTTGTATTACTGAGTGGCTTTCTCCTAAGCCTCATTTCCAGTGTGTTTGGGGATGTGCTGTCCCTGTCCCTGCCTTGATGTACCTTTGGTCACGTGAAGGACAGACCTATGATTGTCCATCTCAACATTAAGTCACCCCTAATGCACTGCCAATCACAGAACTGTTGTCCATCTCAATAATGCAACTCCTACACAAAACCAAACTCAGCCTCGGTGTAGGAAAAAGCAAATGTGCCATGAACTTGGATGCTCTGGCTGAATCTAACCCCAAAAGTGGCGTTTCAAAGCCTGCATGTTTCTGTTGTAGCTGCATGTCCACAAGACAGTGTTGAAATTATGACCAGCTCACTGCTGTGGCTCTTATCCCCCAGTGAAGTTTGTAAGCACCAGCATGGTAAAAGGATCTTGATGGGTAAAAATTATGCTTCCATTTAAGAACCACTAATGGCACCTTGTGCATCTGTCACTGAATTAACTACATCAATTTGAAACCATACGTAAGCCAGGCAACTGGTTGAAGGGAACAGCTTGCTTACATTAGGAGATCTGGCTGAAAAGAGAAATTAGGCACTCTTTCTCTTGAGAGGTTGTGCTCAGCTAGTAAGAAAGCAGATACTTTCTTGTGGGTATTCACATTTTTGCAGATTGTATTCCCTATGTGTAAGAGGGTGAGACCTCTCAGATCAATATGGGCAAAACAAGTGGGAGGCTGCAGCATAATATTTGGGCAGCAAAGGGAGAGTTATGGCAATGATAAAACACACATACATGTCCTGGAGAGTAGTGCTATGGAAAAAAAGACCCAAACTTGAGCTATAAAGCCGCATTCACCCCCTCCTGGGGCAGCAGCCAGGGCCACATGGGGCACCCCGGGGCACGAGAAATAGCACATGGCGCCTGCACTTGGCTGGCTGAAAGCTCCCCCAGAGCTGCTGTGTTTGGACAGTTGGAATTAATCATGGGAGGGAAACGTAGCTGTACTTAATGAGCTGAGCACTGTGAGCTTCGTTAGCAGAAAGGACAGAATAGGGCAGGATAAGTACATAGGGGACAGTCCCAGACAGAGGAGAACGGGTTACACAGGCATCTATCTCATCTACCTGCTTCTTGCACAAACCTCCCAAGCAGAACAGCTGCCAACAGCTTAGAAAAAGAGTTTCAAATTCCAACTTCATGCCAAAATGACAACAGGGGACACAGGGACAGAGGGATATTTTCCAAAGGGTGTGAACTGCTGCTTTTTAGATGCTTATGTGTTCCACATGTCTGAGAGCTCCCCAGACACGTTTTCTGCACACACTGTGTTACCATCCCACGGACAGACGGGCATCTGGAAGCACGGAGGGATGTTTTTGGAGGCCCACGTGGCAGTCTCATGCTTGACCCCTGTTGCTGTCAGTGGGAGTTTGGGCCCCAAACTTCCTTTTCTTGCCTTTGAAGCTCTACTGAAGTGCGCTGAGAGCCTGTAGGGGAGACAGAGTCTGCATTCAGATAGCAGTTCTCAGCTTAACCCTTTCACCCCAAGCCCATCCTCTCTCAGTAGGTAAAATAATGGGCATTTCTGTATTCCATTTTGTGATTACGCCTTCTATGCGGAAATTTGCTTTTCTATGCAAGGAATAAATCAGTCTTCTAAGGAGAGTTTAAAATCCAGCCCTTCAATCTGCCCATCTCTCTTGGCCTCCTCCTCCCTTGCACTCAGACCGCTGGGCAGCTGGGAGCACCGAGCTCTCCAAAGGGAACACAGACAGTCACGGCCCCCACCCCTCCATCCATCTGTAAAAGGGAAAAAGGCAACAACAGCGATAAAAATTTGCAATCCTGACTCCCTGGGATATTAGCAAGGAGAAAATCTTTGTGTCCCCGCTGTGGCATGCTTTATTTTCTAGATTTCACCTCCATTAGCAGCTTAATCAGTGCAAATCAAATCACGCCTCCTGTTTACCGATCTCCAGAGTGCTGACACTGGCAAGCGGCTTATCTCAGCGTGGCAGGACTCAGCTCCTTCCTTGGGGGTCGGACAAGAACTCGACAGAAGTTGCTCGTAGTGGGAGAGGGAGCATAAATCAGGGAGGGCTCCGCTGGTTCTGCTCCCAGCAGAGGTAACCAGCTCTGAGCGAGAGACGGGGGATGAAGAGCCTGGAAGGCAGGATCTGAATTTGGGCTCAGTTGTTTGTAAGGATGTGGAGGTGGGCGGAGCTGCCCGCAGCGCGTTGGCCGCAGTCACGGCGGTGCTACTGCTGTTTCTACGCTGTCCTCCCTCCCTCCCTCCCGCGGCTGCAGCGTGGCAGGCAGGGACTCCTGCACAAGGCGTGGGTAAGGGCAGCGAGACGCGGCTTCTGCGGCGTCCCAGTGCCCGGGAGCTGCACACTCAGAGGGCGGGCTGAGTCCCTGAGACCTGCCCACGCTTACTCAGCAGCGAAGGCATCGGGGAGCGGGTCACTCTGCGCCTCGTGGATTGGAAGGGACTTTTGAGGTTCGAGTCCAAGCCCCTGCTATAACAGGATCCCTACAAGGAGGCAAGACTAATGCGACGTGCTTCGGAGCCCCGCTGGCACGCTGCAGCCGTGCTCGACCTCCAGGCACCGCCAACACGAGTGCTGTCAGCACCCGAGATAAACTCACACCGCTTCGCTTCCGAGTGCCGGTGCGAGCCGAGCTAAAGGCAGGGCGGAGCGCTGAGTGCCCTTACAGTCCTCGCAGCGCAGAGGTGTGAGCCGCCCCGCGGGCTGCCTTACGATGCCTCTGTGCGCTGCAAAAAGCCTGAGGGCTCGGCTGAGCACCCTCGAAAGCAGGAGGAAGCGGGCGAATCCCCGCTTTCCTGTAACTTTTTCATGTTTGTAGTTAATCCGCAAGGTGTGAAAGCTGAGGAGCTGAGAAGGCAGGGACGCGCCCGTCTGTCCCACCTCCCGATTCGCTCTGGTGCGGTGGGAGCGGGGCCGGGCCGAGCCGGGCGGGGCGGAGCGGAGCGGGCGGAGCGGGGCAGCCCCGGCGCGGCGTCGGGAGAGAGAGCGGGGCGGAGGGCAGGGAGCGGGCAGGGCTTGGCGCGGAGGAGCCTCACCCCCTCCTTCTCCCGGCAGATCTTCCAATGGAGGCAGCTGGAGAACCTCTATTTCCGCGAGAAGAAGTTCTCGGTGGAGGTGCACGATCCGCGCAGGTGAGAACCGTGCCGCGCCGTGACGAGCCGGGGGCTGCGGGGCTCGGCGGGATCCCCCGTTGTGGTCTGGGGCTCGCTGCGCTTTGTAGCCGAACAACCCATAGGCTGGAGCCCTTCAGTAAGGGAACGCTCCCTATGTGTCGGGTGGGTACGCTCCCACTGTGTCTCCCCCCCGGAGCCCGGCAGTGCTTTCTCCTTCGTTCCTTTGTGGCCCCGCGATGCAGCCCGGGGTTCCGCCGTGGCTCTCGGAGATGGGCGCCAGATTTTGTAGTCGCACGTTCCCTTGTAAATAAATATTCAGGAGTTCAGCGGAAAGGAATGGCACCGTACCAGAGGTTTACGGGCAGGCTGGATGCAAGCCCATCAGTCTTTTTGGCACAGTACCCTTTTTTGTTACTTTGGAGACCTAAAGTGGGAGAGAGGGAGTTCAAGTGACTGTGCTGTGTTCAGTGCCTGCAGTCTGCACACCTACTCGTTTGTCTTAGTGGATGGTTACTGCACACAGTGACCAGTGTACAAATTCCTCTGTAAGTTATTGTCACTGAAGTCGACATTCTGCTTTTCAATTAGACATGAAAAGGTCTGACAGAATCTCTTCCCAGACCGATTTGGTGTGCTGCTGTGTTTTGCTGATTGCTCAGCTGTGATCCTGTTTCACCTGTTTCCTGTGCCTATCTGTATAGTAGTACCTGTATTTTAGGGAAATTTTGCATGCAGTTTCTGTGACCATGGTCACACTACTATAACAGTGCCTGTATCCATACCATAGGTGCGTTATCTTAAAGCAAAAACTGCAGGTAACCACTCAAACCAGACTGCAGTTCCAGGTCAGCAGAGCCTTGAAGCATCTGCTTAATATTAAGCATGTAAATAGTCGCATGAAATCTAGCAAAGCGAATTCCCAACGCTGAGAATGTTCTGGGAGACCTTCCAGCAGTGGGAGCTGGGGGTGGTGTGCTCCTTCCTCCACCAACTGTCCGTCAGCAGCAAGGCATCAGGAACGTGGGCTGTGAGCAGCACGGAGCCCCTGAACGCTGAGCTGGCCGCTTCCTGTAAGCAGCAATTCCAAGAGAGAGCAGTCAGCTCTGCGACGTTCAAGTCGTGGTATTTGCAGCTCTGTGTCATGCATAAATTGTGACCGCGCAGAGGAACTTCTCTTTCCAGCCGTGTGTCATTTGTGTTTATTTGGATGATAGGAATTAATGACGCTGGAGGGCTTCTGCTTTTTATTCCACAACGCTGTTTCCCCGAATCAACACTAGGAGGACAAAGCTCTGTCCGCTGTGAACTGTTGTCTGTCTTTCTCACAATCAATTTCTGTAGGCAGAGAATACCTCCATTCATGTCATACTGTTACTCTGGCTGTTTTACAGCCGGCCACGTTGCAGCAGTGTGCTGGGAGCACGGCTCAGGTTGTAGTCAGCTTCCTGGCCGAGCGGAACGGACTCCTGGTGTATGGAGGTATTTGGTGTATGGAGGCAGAGGAATAGCCACCACAGTGCTCTCTGCATTCCTCTCCATGTAGCCAAACCAGAGCCTGAGTCAGCAAAGCCACACTCACAGGCATGGGAGAGCAAGCACAGCTCCATGGTTGTGGCCAAGGCTGGGCAGCACAATGTATGTTTTTGAGCCCTGTCTCTGCCTGCGGCTTCCTGTCCTGTGCAAACCACTTAACCTCTCTTCATCTCAGCTACTTATCCCAGAAAGGAGGATTGTTGTGCATTTTTGTATTAGTGGGGTTGATTCCATAGCACATGTGGCATGCGTGGATGAAAGACAGAAAAAGCACCCAAGAGCCATCTCTCATAGGCTCCTTTTGGGAGCCAGCTGTGAAAAGCAACTCAGCATCTTTGAGCAAGTGTGCAGACTTCCTTACAGGATTTACAAATTGGACAGGAAACATGTAGAGATACCAGAAAGAAAAAAAAAAAACAACACATCATATATCACTGCTTTTAAAAGGAAAAAATTAATGGTTTGAAGAATATGCTTCTGGGAGTTCAAAACAAGGACTGAAAGAGGTGGCACCAGAATTAAGGCTGCAGCCCATGTGCCTGAATGCCTCAGAACCTTATATGCCAATATGCTGCAGTGATTTTGTGTACCTTAAATCAACAGAGCGTTCAGAATCCCCTCTCCAGCCTCAGTTCCAGGAGTACCTTGTCCCAGCACTGCTGCTTTCGTTTGCTGTCCAGCAATGGCAGTCAGGCAACCCTGCCTCTCATCCTTACCACCACGGCCATCAGCCTCCATCCTGCTGCACCCATAGAGGGTTTTCTCACGGCAGTTACAACAGCAGGTTTCCTGCTGTGTTTGCATGGCACAGGGTAGCACAGAAAGGGCTGAGCTGAGGATAGTGCTGAAACGTGAGACCCCCATTTCCCTTGCATTGGCTGTGGCTGTTTGCTCAGAGAGATTTCACTCCTATTTGTGGCTCTGCAAATTGATACGATAACACATTTTGCAGCACTGAAAAGACCCTGACACAAGAACTCATCGATTTCCCAAGGAGATCCTGGCCAGCAGTTCACAATTCTACTCAGTTTTCTTTTTCTTTCAGACTTTGCTCTGTCTCAGCTTCTTTTTACTTCCACCTTCACCTCCAGTTTTGGACAGCCATGTGTGAGAAGAGTTGAGGAGTGCAGATACAGCAGGGAAAACACTGCTTTTTAGCAGACTCGGGCACTTCAGAGCACTGGGAAAAGAGTCAACCATCTCTCGTGCTGCCCAGTAGAGCTCCTGGGCTGTCCTGCACTGGCACCTCCACATTTGCATTGCTCAAAAGGGCCTGCTGGCATCCCTTTGTAGCATGCTCTGCTCCCCATGCTGGAGCTCTTTTCACAATGCATGTCTCTGAGGAAAAGGCCATAACAAAAGTATCACATTTCTGTGGTCTGATTTTTGGGTGTTCCTGTGTGGAGTCAGGAATTGGGCTTGATGATCCTTACGGATCCCTTCCAACTCAGGGTATTCTATAATTCTGTGATTTCTGACCCAACCTGTGTACCATCACTCGCATTTATTTCATAATCATATTCAACCACAAGACTCTTAACAGACTGGAGAGCAGAACCTCATTTATTTGGGGCTTGGTTTTCTCCAGCCACCATTGTGTCCCTTCAGTGGGAGGAGTTCAACAGACCAGGATCATGGAAGTAGAGTAGCCATAGATCGTAGAGTAGCCTGGGTTGAAAAGGACCTCAAAGATCATCGAGTTTCAATCCCCCTACCATGGGCAAGGTTGCCAACCACTAGACCAGGCTGCCCAGAGCCACATCCAGCCTGGCCTTGAATGCCTGCAGGGAGGATGCTGTGAGCTTGTGCGGTATTTATCCAGCAGCGTGCTGGTGTCAAGGACTGTGCTGGCAGGGTTAGAGTTGAGGGATAGGAAAGAATAATCGGGTAGTTTTGTACAGCTGTAAAAGCATGGGGAAACCTAACCTGTATTTTTTGTTAATATTTGAGGACAATTGGGAGTCCCAAAGAGGAAACACTTAGCTCTTATTTTTCCTGTTTTTATATTCTCTCAGCTAATCGCTGAGTAGCATTCTTCTCTCCAGGGCACCAGGCAGCCCTCTCTGAGCCTCACAGCTTTCCATACCACATAGCAAGTCCTATCCTTACATTTACAAGACAGAAAATCAAGGTTTTTTCAAGATTTTCTTCCACATTCTGTAAAGCAACCACTAATCCTGTTGCTTTTTGGTAATTATTAGGGTCCTAATATTTGAGACCCGCCATCCAAAGCCAGAGGTGCTGGAAGGCGTGAGGCCTTGGCCTCGGGTGTCTCAGCGCCTGGTGACACACACAAGATTCATCCAGGCTTGGCTAGGTGTTAGTGACTCCCCTGGGACTGCTAGAACTTGGGAGCATTGTAACTTTTACTATTTAAAGTAAAGGCTGTCTTGACTTGAGTAGCAGTTTACCACTGATCTCAAAACATTTTTCCCATCAGTGCAAGGGTATATTCAGTAAAGGTACTGCTTTTCACTGTGAGGTCTGTGGTTGTTTTCTGTGGCAGAATATACCTGAAGAAACCACTGTGTAACCCCAAATCATTCTTTCCTCTTCTTTAGGGCATCTGTGACCAGGAGGACTTTTGGGCATAGTGGCATTGCTGTGCATACGTGGTACGCCTGTCCAGCACTGATAAAGTCCATCTGGGCTATGGCCATTAGTCAACATCAGTTCTACCTGGACAGAAAGCAAAGCAAGGTAAGCATGTTGAAAGTGAGGAAATAGATGTATTATAGGGGTGAGGTGTTCTAACTCCTCATGGCCCCAGCAAGGTCAAAGTGGCCATTCTGCTGCCCTCTATTTCCACTTGAGATCAAAACAAGGCAAAATAACTCAAGATACGTGCTGACTTTTGCCAGGCTAAAGGAATTTGTAATGAATTCGTGTCTGTGGGAGCAAAGTTTGAGGGGAAGGTTGTACTGAACTATGGCCAAATTGGAGAAGCCAAAGTTTGCAGACAGATAGGGTTGGGTCCCTGTCTGGATGATTGCCACAGTGTCTTCTGGTTCTTCTTTGTGGTTCAGAGTAGCTTCAGACTACACCTGCCTCTGAATTCATCTTGCTATCCCTTGCCTTAACTATTTTATTTTCCCAGAAATGAAGAGTAGAGGATGTTATTTATTTCTCTCACTTCATAGAATCTCACAGCAGATGAAGGGGTAGGATGCTGACAGCCTGGCCTTACAAGATACTGTCTTACTGTGGTGCTATACATACTGTAGTGCTCAATACACAGAAGAAACCAACTTGAAACCAAAGGGATGTGTGTGTATTCCCTCTAATTCCTTTCATCAGCAGTAATTTTAGTCATACCCAGAGCAGCAGGAGATGGCTTTGATCACTTTAAGATCACTTTGAGACAGAAGAGAGACTTCTCATGCAGACATCCATCTTCATATGAGCATGCAGTTGTAAAACTTGACAGATAAGATAAATATTTCGTTGAATGGGTACCTGTCAGTGAACATGGACAAAATTGTAAGTTCTCCCAATAGCAGATGAGAGTTTTCTGTCTCCCATTTCTACTCAGCACTACCAAAGCAATATATTACTCTCTCTGTTGCTCTCAATAAAAAAACTTGGCAAACAAACAGAAGTTTATTTTTTTTTTTACTTTTAGCCAGATGGGTTGGCAGATCTAGCTGCAAGGTATTTAGGTCACTAGAAACCAATAAACAAAAGGAGATTCCCTGCTCCTCCCATTTCTTTGGTAACAAACAGGGTCTTTTAAATGCCCAGGACTTCCCTTCAGTCACTTCTTTTGTTGTTGGCAGATTGTGTTTCAATCTGATCTCCCCTCTCTCACACTCCTACAGACAGCACCACCTACCAGCCCTCGTTTGTCAATCTGTCATGTCTCTTGCTATGTCAGAGTGCTTTGTCACAATAATCCCAGTGGTCATGCTGAGGCTTTGAAGTTAAGGCACACAAATATTTTTGTCCCTTTTTTCTTAAGGGAGCTGGTGTTTCAGTCTGTTGTCCTCATCTTTGACGTGACACTGCCAAGATTGATAGATCCATCAATTTTAAGTGATGTGTTCAATTCATCTCTCTGGTCACTTCAGGACACTATATCCGTGTGTGCTTTGCTTTTGAATACCAGTAAGCATTTGCTAGAGTGAGGCAATGTGAAATGTCTTTGTTTCATCTCTTAGGGGCTCAAGCAAACGTTTATTTGAGTTTCAGGTCACGTGGGTTTGCTTCCCCTTAAATCTCAGTCCGCACTTCAGATGAATTCCCAGCTTCAAAGCACAACTTAGATACTCCTTGCTTTTATGTCCAAACTTGGCATTTCACATAGTTTTGACAAAAAAAATAAAAAATAAAAACAAACTGAGATGAAAAAGCCTGCTGGAACTGATCTCAACTGAGCCTTCACTTCAGTGGTTAGGTTCTGTGGCAGGTGATAAGACATACTGGATGGAGCAAGCTAGAAATCTGTGCTCATATAACTGGGCACCAGCTGGATTTGGATCTTCTGCACAGCTCCACTGGAAAAGGCCATTCACTTAATTTTGAAATGAACCAAAATCATCTCACATGGATTTTGACCCTTTTGCAAGGAAGTGAGGTCCCAGCTTTCTTTGCAGCTTCACGCTGCATTGAACTGCTGCCAACTCGCTAAGTTCCCAGCGTCTCACTCCCCACTGGCTCTGTATGTCTCTGCAGTCAAAGTGTAACACAGAGTCTGAAAAGATCCCCGGCTTTCTGAGTGAACATGTCAGCGTGCAGAACTCCTGTCAGCTTTCTTTTTTTCAGTAGACAAATGTATCAGGACTTTAAGCCGTGTCTTTGCTCTGTTGACTGCACTGAGTCAATCAAACGTTTGGCCCAGAAGCTTTGAAAAGTCTCCTTTTATGGAAATTTCCAGTAGCACATTCCTGCAAGCACGGCGCTCTTTGGCTCAGTGAACTGTCAGAAAATGGGCCCAGGCTTTCAGAAAATCCCACTGAAACACCTGCAGCAAAACCCCATCACTGCAAGCAAGAAGGATATAATTCATCCCTGGTGTCCATCTACTCTTGCTTTTCACTGATGTATTTTCCTTCACCTTCTGACCCTGTCAGAATAGCACTGGGGATCAGTTTGGCCCCATGCTTTGAGATGACTCATGAATGAGCTTGTCTCCTCTGTGCAAATGAGACTTGGCAGGTCTGCACTAAGTGCTTTAAATTTTTTTTGCCTTGAGGGACTGCAAGGCCCAAGGGAGTGCTAATGGGATGTAATCTAGCTTTCCGCTATTGTGCTGTCGGTACAAAGTCTTGCACAGGCCTTGCACAAGCTGCTGCTCAGTGGCCTGTATGAAATGAGCTGTTGGTCTGATTCTGCCATTGATGAGTGGCTGTCCAAAGCACGAGACCACCTGACAATGATTGGTGCTGCTGGAGGCAGCAAAGGCTGCAGCGATTGAGCAGCGTGGAAAGTTCACCCAGTTTCCTTCAGGAGATGCTCTGTCCCCACTTAGTAGCCCGGCTCTAACACATTCCCTACCAGCTTCAGCAGGTTTGGGCTGCACCCTCTGTGGTTCCTCCACACTGCCCCGCTGATCCCCAGTCTGCTGTCTTCTGGTATGCTTTTCTTCTGCCCAGCCTCTAGGGTTGTCAGGCTTTGGTCTTATCCTGCTATTTCTTTGTCCAATTTTGGGCATATTTCCAGCTGATGCTGGCTCAGCATGTTGGCCAGGACCACAGCATCCAGCTTCATTGCCTTCCCTTGGCATATTGGTTAGTGCCTGGTCAAACAGGTAGGGCCTGAGCGTGCACTAATTTGCAGTCTGGAAAGGAGTGAAAATAAACTACAGGACTGTAATTAGTCTACAAATACAGGAAAACTGCCTCCTCATGGAGTGGGAGGACGAGATCTGTCTGTGCAGACTTGGGGTTTATAGCCTTTCCTAGACATCCAGTGCAGAGACTCAGTATAAGGGGTTAGGGTTGACCACAATGGCTATTCCTGGGGTTACACAAAGTATACATAACCCTACATAGCCAGAGGGTTATACAGCATGTAAGCATCAGCAAGGAATAAATCACCAGGACAGCAGCAGCCTGAAGACTCATTGTCTCCAAAGATCTGGCATTGCAACAAGACAGCAGGTCGTGCTCAGGCTCCTTATCAAAACTCAGCAGGAGAAAATCTTGTTAGATAAAAGCAGTGACTTTCCTCTTCCAGAGCCATTTGGAGAACATTGTACACAAAACTTCTTGCATCTCATTTTTGACCAGAAACCTGAGTTCAGGAAGCAAAAAGTGTTCTACCCTTCTCCCTGGACTGAGTCTAGAGTAGAGCTGCTGGAAATGAAAGGTGTCTGCCTCGTTGTAGCATTACTTTAAGGTGGTCAGTACTGGTTGCCTGATCTGCTGTGATATATTGGCAGGTGGTTCTGCCTTCACACTCAAATGAGTGGGGATCCTTTGTTCTTAGGATCGTTGTGGAAATAAGCTTGTGAGGCATTCAGGTACCTCTGAATGGTAATAACAGAGCTTATAAATACCCAATAATATCAAACTATAATAATACTTCTGTGGGTGCTTTCAGTACAAGGCTCTCCCAGTGCTATCTTTGTTTACAGTCTTAAATTAATCTCAGAAACACAGCGTGCAACGGGGAGACATTTTACTTTCATTATTATTTCACTCATGTGCAAACAGAGGCAGAGAACAGCTAGGAACTTAAGCTGAAGTGTCTTTCCCAAAGCCTCACAGCAAATCAGTAACAGAGCCGAGAGTGGTGAGTGTGCAGCCATCAGTTCACCCTTAGCTCTTGTTAGAATGATGTGAAGGAATGCCAAAAACCCCATCAGAGCAAACTGTCCCCGCTGGTCCACCTCATGTTAGTTCCTATGGGAACAGATCATGTGCCTTCAGCACCCCACTGAACAAAAGTTTTTGTTGTTCCACAATGGCTTAATGAAATGTTTCCTTATGTTTATCCCTGAAATGCTTGGAAATGACCCTGGTTGGAAGACGCAGGATTAGGGGGTTGTTCTGATGTAGCAGTTGCTGTTTCAAGGTGATTCAAATGCTGTACTGCTCAGAAAAAAAGGTCTGGAAAATTATTGTGGCAACTGAAACACCATCATGTGTAGAGTTCATCCTTTCAGTAGTGCTAGGGCTGCCACTGAAGAGCTTTCCCCAGCAGCCTTAATCAATGTGCTTGGTCCTCTTGTTAAGCAAGCATCATGTTCAGATGCTGTCAGCAACATGAACCGGAGATAGGTGGCAAACTGCTAATACCAAGGTTTGTATTGCAGAGGCAGGGCAGCCTCTAGGACTGGATGAGCCCAACTCTGCAGCCAGCTGTTGCACTTGTTTTGTTGCTCAGTGCACTGAAAGATTTCTGCCTCCATTGGCTCTGTGGGGCATAATGACAGCTAAACTCACAGCTCCAACAAAGGAAATTCGGGGAATATCTCACCTGAGCTTTCAGGGCATCTTGTCCCAAATTCTTCCTCAGCAAATTGAAACAGGATGACATCTAAGGAGATCAAGTCTCTCTCTCCTAAGTTAGGTTTATGTATTATGCAGGTTTGCTTTCCCTGGGGTGTGCCTAGATTGCTGACCCGTGGTGCTGCGCAGGGTCCTGGCACAGCCAGTTATTGAGCTGGGGCTGACTGTTTTCTTACTTGACTAATATTAATGCTTTGGAGAATTCTGTTGCTGCAGGTGCACTGTGTGCTGCCTGTTACTCTGAACCATAACCAGAACATGTTTTCCTGCCAGTATTTTATTCCAGCTTCTCATGAAAGCCCGTTTAAGCCAAGTCCTCATCTTGTTGATCCAGAGCTCCTTGCCAGATTTGGACAAACCTTTTGTGGCTTCTTTTAGGTAGTAGAGGTGGTCTTTGGCCTTTGAGCTTATGCAGTAGCATTTCTGAAGGTTTCTTGTTGTATTTGGTAACAAAGCGAGTCTATGCGTAGTTTCTTCAAGAGGGAAAAATATCCATGACAAAGACAGAAAATAATAAACAACAGGAAATGACGCCAGAATTACACCCACTTATGAGTGTAAAAAGTGCAGTCCTGAATACAGTTCTGGATTGCTTCCATTCTTGCAAAATAATCCTAGTTTGCTGTGGAGGCTTGTTTCCTGCCACAGTGGGATGACTTTTTGCTTCTGTGAGCTTTAAAGAAGTGCTAGGCCATTACTAACTCTTTTGTCCATGTCCAGTCCAAGATTCATGCTGCAAGAAGCCTGAGTGAGATTGCAATTGACCTGACCGAAACTGGAACGCTCAAGACCTCAAAGTTGGCCAACATGGGGAGCAAAGGGAAAATTATCAGCGGCAGCAGCGGGAGTCTTCTGTCATCAGGTAGGTCCTCCATCCTGTAAATGGAAAGAATATGGTGGGAAGGGCTGTGGTCATAGCATAATGGTGAGCTGCCAGAAGCTGCACTGCAGAAGTGGAAATCGCTTCCCTTTAGTCTTTCTGTCTGTCCAGGTGTAAGTCCATCTCTCAGCATATTGCCCCACATTCAACACAGGACACAGCCTCCCTGTCTCATTTCAGCTGCTCGTTTCCTCTTTGGCCAGAGGAAGTCTCTCATTTCCTAGCTGAGATTTGGTCTCTCTTCATAGTCTCTGCTGTAATCACCCTGTGGTACCTAGCTCATCTCAGGCTGTTTGCTGCCTAAGGCCAGTGTGTCCATGGAGCAGTTCCCAATCTGCAGTGGGGAAGTGATCAAGCAGCTGAACCCAGCTGAGGCTGGGAATTGGTGACATCCCTCAGCGCTGTCAGGGCAGTGGCTCTTTCACATAGTGCACATCTTCCTTGCCTCTCTGTTGCAGGAATTTGCATGGTTCCCCGGGGCCAAAACAGTTGTTCCTGAGCATCCTCCACCAGCTTAGTGCCGGGGACTGAGAGGTTTCTTTTTGTGCCTTAGAGCACCTTCCTGTGTGAGGAGGACATAATCAGTGGAACAAAATCAAGAGAAGTTGATGAGGGAGAGAAATGGAGCATCAGAATAGAAAGAACAGGAAAGGGGAGTCAGGTGCTTGTCTGTATTTCTTTGAGACTTTTCTGTCAGTCTGAATAGGTGAAGCTGTATATAGAACAGTGCTAAACACTCTAAGATTGATTGATTGCAGAACGCTTGAAGCTGCTCAGGTGATAAGCTCTTCAGGAGGGCAGAGGTGCTGGTATCAGTATAATTAACAATTGCAGTCAATTGTGTGTCCTCTGCTAAGTGTTACATCAAGTTATCGAAATCAGTTGTGATGAGCAGAGAATAACCTTCCTGTGCTTGCCAAAGGAGGAGTCCACCTAAGAATGCACACGCTTTAAAACTTAACCCACCTTGATGCAGTAGATCAGTTTTTCATCACTGTACATTCTTCATGTCTTCTAAAAGCCACCCTCTCCTACCTGGAAAATGTCAAGCAAGGGGTTAAATTGCTCAACGACTTCTGAGCTCTGGATTTGCCTGCTGTGCAATTCCTTGCCTTGCCTGTGAACAGAGATGCCTTTCTGCTCCTTGGGTCCGGCTGACACAGCACACAATCCTTGTGTCTGTACCTCCCATCACTCAGGGAGCGATGCAGTAGCTGAGCAGCTCCTGGCCTCCTGTCAGGTTGCTGGAGCTTTTTGTTTGGCATTTTTTCTAGGTTTCCAGGAGGAAAGTAAATAATGTTAAGTACCCCAAGGAAGTTCTTAAGGTCTTTACAAGATCTCAGCCTCCCGGGCAACATTCCTGATTTTGTGAAAGCTGCTTGGTAGTAATCCTGTTTTCATGTTTATACACTATTAGTCTTCCTGGAAAAAAAACATGGAGGTCTGCTTCTGCTCTCACAATGGGAAAGAGCAGCAGCAAAGTAAAAGACAGCAGAAAATCAGGCCCAGAAAAGCTCTAGTGAGGCCAGCACCTGAACAGGGCTGTATGGACAGAAATCCCAGATGGCCAGCAATGCTTACTTTTATTGTCCGTCTATTTTTGCTCTTTTCTCAAATCCATTCTGGCTGAGACTCAGTAGAATTGTGGTAGCAACCAGACCAATGCAGAGTTCACTGCCCAAACGAGTAATTTCTTGTGACCTGTGCAGGTGGATCAGTCTACATCAATGCTTAGCTAGGACTGTGTAAACTCTTTGTCGTTTGAGTTGTTGTCCATGGGCCAGGCAGGCATGTTTCACTCCATGTTCCTATATTAGCTGCCTTCTAGGTCCTACCAGCTGTGGAGGCAGGATTCTAAAGTGTTAAGGAGCATTACAGGGTTTGCAGCTCCTGTGTGCCTTTTGGAGTTAGAAGCATGTTTCTGTAGGTAGGGAAGAGTAGAGAGAATGCATCTGCCATCAGAGGGCAGATCCCAGAGTATTGGAGGCCCTGGATGGTCACCCAGATCTGCTCCAAGAACCCCTTCACTCAGGCCTGGATGGCAGAGTGACCCAGCCCTGCCCAGCTGCACGGGATGGGGCATTCACTGATTGTCCTGCTGGACACAGTCACTGGCTCCATCCCAGCCCTTGTATTTCCTCCCATTGTGCCGACATTATCAACACAAAGCCACAACAATGGTGGGTTATCGTGGTGCAGCCTGCGTGCTGGAGAGAATAAGTGCGAATGATTAAGTGGCCACAGTGGATTTCCATACTATAAATACCCTGAGTGACTTCAAATCACCAGGGCAGAGCTGAATCTGTTTGCTGTTCCTGCTTCCAGGAATCTGAATCTGTTTGCTGCTGTTCTCTGCCCTTTTTCCTGGAAATTACTTGTCGCCATTTCCTCTCTTCACCTTACTCCTCCTCAGCAAAGGGCTGTCCCTGCCGTGTGGAGCGTGCCAAAGTTGACATGTTTCCCCTGGATTTGTAGCAAGACTGCAGGGAAATAATAGCTGTTGTTTACAGCTGTCACAGCCAAAATCTTGCTGTTCATCCCATTGTAGTTGCTGCATCACTTACAGTCTCAAGACACACCAGAGAGGTAATGGAGCTTTCTGTTGGAGTAGTGATTTCCTATGATCACAGCAATTCAGGACCAGAGCGTGAGCTCCTCTGTGTTTCCCAGGCCTTGTCTCAGACAGCATCTACTGCAGTTCTGAGTTTTATCCTTATTTCAGCTTTGAAGGGACTACCCAAAATAGAGAGCTGCCAGGATTTAGCTCAAGGATCTTCTGAGCCATCTCTGGGTATGTAGGGCAAGATTTGCTCATGAATGAAAGCTCTGCTTTCAGACTGGCATGAACCGTGATCAAAAGCAGCAGATAATTATTGGGATGAAATCAAGCAAGGTCTACTGTGGATTTTTTTCTTTAAAGAGCAGTCCATGCCATAAGAACTTTGCAGTGCTCTTAGCTAGCAAGGAGTCCTATTGTTGCTGGGTTATTGTTGGCCTGAATCCCAAACTGCCTCTTTCACAGAATAGAATCATAAAGTCAGTACCTCTGACCTCTCTGATTATCTAATTCAACCATCAACCCATCCCCACCATGCCCACTAACCATGTCCCTCAGTGCCACATCTACACATTCCTTGAACACCACCAGGGACAGTGACTGCCACTCCCTGGGCACTCTGCTCCAGTGTCTCACCACTCTTTCTGAGAAGAAATTTTTCCTCATATCCAGCATGAACCTTCCTTGATACAACTTAAGGCCTTTACCTCTTTTCCTTTCATTTCACTGAGTCGAGAGGAAACCTCGGAAGAAAATTGCTGCTTTAACTTTGCAGATGTGATAGAGGCCCCTGAGCCATGCTCCTCCAGCAGCAGCAGAGGTTTCCTGTACGTGGACCTGTTTACATTTGCAGATGCCACAGTGTGTGATTCCTGGGCCCTGCTGCTCCATCCGGCAGGAGCATCTCCTAGCAGTACTGAGCTGATGAGTGTTGGAGTGGGTGACCAGCACCCACACAGCCCCCAGCACTGCCTGCAGGATGTTGGATCGCATCCTGTGCTGAGCTGCACCGGCTGGGCTCCTGCATGCTGCACAGGATATCCTATATGTCTGGCAGAGCTGAGAGAGAGTAACTGTCTGAGGTTGCTGGCTGCTCCATGCTGACATCCTGGTGTGGTGAGTCAGCCCAGGCTCTGGCATGGAGCAAATGTTGGGGACCATCCCTCCCTGCTCAGGGGACAGCTTGCTGTGGGGATCCGGATGAAATGCCAGCAAACTGAAGCCAACAGGATGTAGTGTGAAGGGATTGCCATATTTAGATGTGGTTTTGTTGGAGGAGACTCACAAAATAAGAAAGAGATGCCTGGGTTCTCCTGCCTTGCTTCTGCTTGGCCACCCTTTTCTCTCACAGATCCAAGTCTCAGGTTTTTCTGCTCTTCAGCATGCCATCTATCCTCCTCATTTGTTATCATCATTTGCATTTACCCTTTTCCAAACTGATGCCACCCTGCTGCAACAAGTGGAGGGCTTAGAGACAAACAGTGAATCACTGGTAGGGCTTTAACTTCCTTAACTCTGCCTCATGTTGCTGGTCTCCTTGCATCTGATAAGGTTTAAAGCAAAGCTTGACTTGGAGGAGACACCTGTTAACTCTGCAAACCTCAATAAGCACAGCTGACCTTAGTCAGACCCACTGGGTATGTGAGTTGGTGCATGTCCCTGTCAGTGGCACCAGGAATCTCCAATACCAGCCTGTTGGCACTGGTGAGAAACTGAGCAGTGCATTCTTCTGGAGGAGTGAGTTGAGCAAGGAGGATCACGTTCTCCCTGTTTCATAGCTTTTGTTCGTCTGAATGTTGGTAGAAGAAGTCACCCAGAGAGGCCAAGGGCTATCAGAAGTTGTATAGCATATTCACAAATTAGCAGGATATTATGAATGCTCAAGTCACCGAGACCCATCTTCCACCGTGTGCAGGTATTTAACAACCCCCACTTGAACAGATTTCTGGTGGCTGTCAAAGAGACAGCCCTCTGCTTCCCACCCCTTGTGTTTTCACAACCTTTTTTCTTTTGGGGACATCAGATGGGTCTGCAGAATGATGTTAAAATGCAGAATTCAGTAAATCTTCACACAGCAGTGGAAAGGAAGCTAAACAAGAATACTCACAAAAAGGTTCAAAAGTTATACAGAAGAATTACATAATTTCAGCAGTATTTCTCTGGTTTGTGCATTAGGAACTAGTCCTAATTGTGGGAGCTAAACTACCTGTGAAACCCCCACCCAGTCAACCATTTCTGTTGCATCAGGACTGTTCTTTTTCAGGCTGATTTTTTTCCATTGATGCTGCCTTTGGGAGGCACTGGGCAACTGTGACTCAGTGAGCATAATATTTAATAAGGCTGATGTAAGGTAGTGTCTGCTTGGTTGGTTTGGTTTGTGCTGGTTTTTAATTATTTCTTCGATTGTTTTTATGGTCTTCTGATTTGTTCTGACATTTTGGGGTCAGTTACCACAGGGTTTAGAAGTGGGTCTGTGGTCGCAGCCTTGCTTGAGGCTGGATTAATACATTTTTATAAATGAAGAGCTTCTAATGGGAGCTGTAAGCACCCTAGCGATAGAAAGAGCACTGTTCTGTGTGTCTTCACAAACATCCCACTCTGGCTTGATTCTCTTGACTGATCAAGTTGGCACTTGGTTTTTGCCTGTGAGAATAAACAGAGTATCTAACCATAAAAATCTAATAATACAACCCAAAGCACTTCACTTTGCTCAGGCAGAAATCCCTTCTCTTCAAGAAGTTCTGTGGCAAGATGGGAGTTGGCCTCTTCTCCCAGGTAACGCTGTTAGGATGAGAGGCCTTAAATTGCACCATGGGAGGTTCAGGTTGGATATTAGGAAGAAAATTGTTCTCAGAAAGATTGGTGAGGCATTGGCACAGGCTGCCCAGGGGGTGGTGGAGTCACTGTGCCTGGAGGTGTGCAAGAAATATGTAGATGTGGCACTGAGGAACGTGGTTAGTGGGCATGGTGGGGATGGGTTGATGGTTGGACTAGATGATCTTAGTGCTCCTTTCCAACCTTAATGATTCCATGGTTCTGTGACTTCCAGATCTCCCCCAGACCCTTTGCGTTCAGGGAGCAGTGGGAAGGGTGGCCAGATGGGCGTGTAGTTGGCATTGCCACTGACCACATCAGGGTTGAGGCTGCATGGTTCTCAGGCAGGGTCAGCACAGCTGGGGCAAATGCCTTGAACTGTCTGTGCTTGATTTGGGTCTGTACCAGCTCAGCCAGAAGCTGTTCATTTCCTTCTTGTCAGCACTCTCCAAATCAGGCATCTGGGCAGCACTTAGACTATTCATATGTTTTTAAATGTTTCAGCATCTTTGTAGCTGCTCTGGCAACCAGCAGTGCAAAAATGAACAGCTTTTAAAAATAAATCAGAGCCTGGTGTGGAGGTAGGGAGCAGAGAGAGGAAGGAAAAGGGAAGAGCAGTTGAAAGAAAAACACAGATCATTAAAGTTGTCCTAAAAGGGGGAAAAAAGAAAGAAAAAAAAGGGGGTTGAAACATCTGCTGGAATTGTGAGCAACTTTTTTTACCAGGACTCAGCAGATTGTTGGCAATTAAGTAAAGAAATAAAGCAGTTCAGCTTTGCTAGAACTGCTCACCAGGGTTGCTATTAAGAATTACTAAATGCTAGAGAGGGCTTCCACTGCCAGTGTAAATACAGGGCTCCTCTAGAAGATCCTGTGAAGTTCTTGCAGTGCAGATGTATTCACAGAATTTAGTTTTATTGCTCTGTGGGTGCAAACAAACCCGTATGAAATGAGAGTGACTAGAGCAACTAAACAGACACACTGCTGTGAAATTGTTCTTCTCTGCCTGATGATGCTCAACCTGGCTAACCCTCAGTGACCCTTCCTTCACCTTTCCTGATCCAGGACAGCCCAGAGATGTTGTAACGAATGAAAGGTTGCACTTTGCAGAACGAGTGCCAGCTGTCATCCTATATGGAGACTGCAGAAAATAGTGGTGAAAAAGACCTGTGAGATTTTCTGCTCCCACAGGACAATTGCAGAGCTATTTCATGGCACGGGCTGCCTTGAACTTCTTTTGGTTTTGCTTTAACAGTCTGCTGGAATATTAGCAACGAAAGATGAAGCTGAAAGCACAAATTTCAATCTGGTTTGCTGCCAGAACAAAGAGTTGTTCCCAGTTTCCTTCCAGAGCTCTGTGAAATGGCAGCAACATTTACAACTGGCTTTTGCTGAACACCTTCACTGTGCACTCAGAGGCCAAGCTGCAAATGTGTCTAGAAGCCAACTCCTCACTCCCATCCTACACATAACACAGAAACCTCAATGTAGCGTCCTTTTGTATTTCACTCATGCTTTCTTTGTGCTGTTGCTCAAGAGCTGTGGGGGACAGCCTCAGTGTCACCCTTGGACACCAGGTACTGAGATGGAGGGAACGCTGAGGACCTGAAGGAACCCTCTTGAAGTTCATTGCTGTGTCACATTTTCTCTGCAGGCTCAAACCTGTCTCCACAAGAAGTCCCTGCAGAGCTGGTCACAATCCAGCTGTCTAAACATAGGTTTCTTGCATACCTGTGTTTAGATGAGAGTATCCAACTACCAGTTCAACAGAGTTTATGTCTCACAGACTCTTGTGTCATACCCACCACCCCATAGAAGGCACCTCAGATACCTTAGATAACCTAGATGCATCCGTTGAGGCAACGGGAACCTCTAAACCACAGCAACCCTGTCAGTTCAGACCAGCTGTAGCTGAACATACTGCAGTGGCATGAGTGTAGAAAAGCGTGTAGAGATGGTATTTTCCCCTTCCAGTGATTGCTTTGCATCTCACAGTGTGACCGTAACCTTCATTTGTTAGTCTGTGACATAAGGATGCACTCAGCTTATGCATCATCATAAACTCATGCCCAAGCCCAGATAGATGGAAGAGGGTAAATGCTGAGCGCATCCTAAAAGGTCAGCCACTCAACTTACAGCTGTATGCAAACAAAGTTACTTCTTTTTTGAGATGCAGGAAGCTGGATAGGAATTGGTGCATCATCCCAAACAAACTGATGAAAAATCAGAAATCCCATTGATAAGTTTCCCTAAAGAGCTGAAGTTAGGAATTGTTGTGACCTCTGATTAGGAGTCTGACTTAATTCTGGATTTGCACCAAGAAGTGGTAGTGGTGGAAGTTGCTGGGTAATTGCCACATGAAAAGTCAAGCCATTTGGACACCCGGTTCAAATATTTTAACCTATCTCTTCCCAAGCAGGAGCTACTGCCCTGGAAAGACCTGTGGGTGGCTGTTGTTTGGTTTTCTTTTACAGCTTAGTGTGCTTTTTACAGGAATCTGGCTAAGTAATTTTATTCCATTACTCTGTTGTTGTTTTTTCTTGTAAAGCAGACTCTTTAAGTGGATCGAATTAAATGTTTACTACTAGAGTAATTACAGCCCTTAAAGAAGCCATCTGCATTGTAAAGTGGTTTCTCCTAGGCTTACTTTCCCTAAAATGCTTCTCCAGGGCTTTGTGAAGTGTGCTGTTACTTGCTGTTGGGAACTTCCGTGGGAATGATTTTTTTAGGATCTCTACAGGAATAATTTTGCTGCTTTTATTTTTCTGCATAATGAATGTCTTTGTGTATTCCTCTGTCCAGTCTCACTCTGTTAGTTTAAGCATTAAGAATTAGCTGTAAACAAACATAACTGTATAACACCTGCTTCGTATCGTAGCCTGATTTCGTTTTGGACAGACCACATCCAGGCTTTGGTACAATTACTGGCATCCCAGATGTGTGTTCTGCTGTCAGCTGCCATAGTGAAGTCATTGTTTATTGACAGGTTCCCAAGAGTCAGATAGTTCTCAATCTGCCAAGAAAGACATGCTGGCTGCACTGAAATCCAGGCAAGAAGCCTTGGAAGAGACGCTGCGCCAACGCCTGGAAGAGCTGAAGAAACTGTGTCTCCGAGAAGCGGTAGGCAGTGGATCTTTTATAGCTCTTAACACTTGTTGCTTGTGCATCCTTACAGCATGCTTTTTGTTTGGAGGTGGCAGTCATCAGAAGAATGACATCCAGGACTTTATCATGCTAAGCTAGCACTGCTTAGGTCTAATGCACAGAGGGGAAGGTTTGCTCGTGCCACAGTTACAGGAGTTCACAGCCCAGTGCCTTCAGTTCAGCTCCAGCCCCATCGTCAGTGCAGCCACAAATGCTGTGCAATACAGCCATGCCTTGCCGGGGCACAGTGCTAGCAGAAAGGAGCTATTTCCTCACTGTGCTGCAATAGGGTTGGCCTGAGCCCATCTGTCAGCACCTTAAGAGCTGTTAAGAAGTGTTATTTCTTTTTCTGGATGATTTGACTGAGCCAGTTGATGGACACTTGGGGTTTGACCCAGTCTTGCAACCCTACAGCTCATCCATCAGCAGGCTGCAGCTGGAAGCATTTCCTCTCAGGCTGCCTTTAGTCCTGTCTGCTTTGCTGTGGGAATGGCCCAAACACAGGGAGAGGAAGGTGAACCAAGGGGGAAAAAAGGGTTAAAAGTGGGGGGCATAATCAAATAAGCATGGCCAGAGCCATTCACAGCAGTGGCATCAGGTTACCTCAGGCCATCACCACTCCAGTTACTCATTAATTCAGATTACATTTCAGACCTGTGCCTGTGAATACTTTTCAGCTTATGAAGGCTGCGTGGTAGCCCACGTTCATTTTGTTCTGCTCCAATTTTGTTGCTTTTACAGAAGACATTAACTGTTTCCCTTCTGCCATGCTTTGTATTAAGTTCAGGGTTGTATAGAAGATATCCTCAGGAACAGATGCGTGAATCTGTGTCTGGATGCAGTGCGTAGAGCCCCATCAAAGCAGAATGAATACATTACAGAAGAAAAGCTGAAAGAGCTCCACAGGGCTGGAAGGGCAACCCAGAATGGGACACATGAGATGTTTCAGCAGTGCCTCTTGCAAAAGGGGCTGTGCACATCAGCACAGAGCTGGAAAGTGCTTGGAGGAAGGATCAGAAAAGGCCAGACCCTTTTCAAAGTGACCTGAAAATAGTAGAAAGAAAAACCCCATTAGGGAGTAGAGGAGAGGCCAGGGCAGGCAGGGCCTGAGCTGCGCGCTCACATTGAGGTCAGTTGCTGTTCTTTGGGATTCAGATGATTTAGGTTACTCTGCCAGCTGGATCCTCTCAAGGCTGATGCTAAAGAACACAAAACCCTTTTGTCCTTCGTGGGGAGACTTTTGAGTACGAGGAGTTGGGCTGTTCTCAGAGTGAGACTCCTGTGTTTTTCGTTGGGCATTTGAATGCCTTTAATGCAGATATGTGGGGCTGTATTCTGTACTCCAAATAAATCCACACAACACAACAACAAACATTACCTTCAGTGTTGGCACTCACTGCTTCCCATGTTCCAGGTATTTCTCAGTTCTGGGGGATTTGCTTCAGATTTTGAACAAATTTTTACAAATAACCCCATCAATCTGACAGAGCATCATCTAATATCGCTCCAAAGCTGCTCATGACATCACCTGGCCTTGGAAGGGCCTCTGATACATGAAATGGTATCAGTCAGGTAATGAGGTACCAGGCACTGCTTTTAGTGACTATTTGCACTGCATTCCTCTCAGACACATCATGAATCAGGTGGGAACATTTTTTGTGCAGGTCATAACCTGCATGGCTGTTGCCACTGGGACTTTCTAGTGCAGTGAAGGCTTCAGGTGTGTCATCTCCCTTGCAGAAGGAGCCCAGAAGAGAGAAGCTCTTCTTTTCCTGCTCACACTGTAGCAGAGATGAAAGCATGCGTGCTGTAATCTGTTCACCACAGACCCCAACGCCCAAGGGATGGGCAGCACTTACAAACTGTGCTGGGCAGGCAACAGAATCTCTATTCATGCCCAGGTTAAAAAAGCTTCCCCACCCTCAGCAACAGAGCCTGGACCACATTCTCAGGGCTGGGTGTTTATCAGCCTGAGCTAAATGTGGTGTTAATGACTGCCTGTCATTTTAAAGTCACAATTCAAGAGCAGCACTGTGCTTTGCACATGCCAGGACTCTGCTGCAGCATTTCCCAGGTTGCTAACAGTGTTTTCTGCTTGCAGGAGCTCACAGGAAAGCTGCCACGAGAATATCCCCTCGATCCTGGGGAGGAGCCACCCATTGTAAGGAGAAGAATAGGAACTGCCTTTAAACTGGATGAGCAGAAAATCCTGCCTAAGGGAGAGGTAGGATTTGACCTTCCCTTCCAGCTGTGTGTTCCCACTTCTGGTTGCTACCACATCTAGTGTGCATGGCATAGAAGCCACGATCTTCCTGTTTCAAATGACTGTAGTTGGTCACAGTGCCTTTTTTATGAGCCAGCAGTGTGTCCAGTGACCAAGAGGGCCAGTGGCATCATGGCTTATATCAGAAACTGTTGCCAGCAGGAGCGGGAAAGCGATCATCCCTCTGTACTCAGCTCTGGTGAGGCTGCACCTTGAGTACTGTGTTCAGTTTTGGGCTCCTTGCTACAAGAAAGATATTGAGGCCATGGAGCCTGTTCAGAGAAAGGCAACAGAGCTGTGAAGGGTCTGGAGCACAAGTACTGTGGGGAGCGGCTGAGGGAACTGGGATTGTTCATCTCTACAATTGTCCAAAAGGAGGTCATGGTGAGGTGCGGGTTGGCCTCTGCTTGCAGGTAACAGTGGCAGAGCAAGAGGAAATGGCCTTAAGTTACACCATGGGAGATTTGGGTTGGACATTAGGAAGAACTTCTCTGATAAAGTGGTCAGGTGCTGGAAAGGGCTGCCTGGGTAGGTTGTGTAGTCACTGTCCCTGGAGGTGTTCAAGAAACATGTAGAACTGGAACTGAGGGACACAGCTTGTTAGGAAACATTGGTGAGAGGAAGATGGATTATTGCACTGGATGATCTTGGAGGTCTTTTCTAACTTTGGTGATTCTAAGATTTTTTTTTTTTAATTCCCTTCAGAAAAGAGAAGCAGAGGAGGTTGCTTGTCCAGAGTAAAGGTTAAACTCTCAGGGCTCAGTTTTGGCTGTGCTAGAAGCAGCAGGAATAGCCAGGGTGACCAACTGGATTGTGACAGCCCGGGTGACCAACTGTAGTGCCCTGTGTGAGCAGGGAGCACATGGAGAGCCCCCCGAGCCATCTGAGCCCTGCTGCTGCCCTGCGTTGTTACTACAAACAGCAACCTGCTTTCTGCTTCAGCAGTGATCTGAACTCAGATCTCCCCTAGCAGGAGAGAAAAGCATCACAATTACTTATCTTAGCCCCGCAATAGCAAGATAAAAGCATAAAAGATACCTCCCCAGTCCTTACACAAAAGAGGCTCCGTCTCTACCTATAGGGAGCTGGATTTATGTTTTTTTCTAAGTTTGCTAGGGAGTGTTTGTTCTTTTTCCTTGCTCCCACAATGTGCTGGGTCAGTGCCCTGAACCGTGGCTGTGAAAACAGGCCTGCAGCAGCTGTGAGGCGGGCCCCGATTCACAGAGGAGCCATTGTCTGCAGGGACACATTTGTCTCAAGACACTTGTGTATATCCCAGTTTTGAGTTTCTTTTTCATTTTTGTAAGAGGAGAGCCTGAAGCTGGTGTGACTGTGTGGTTTAAGGCCCAGGGAATTAACTGTCGTTTTGTTGGCATTTTTCTTCTGCCGAAAAAAATAAACAGCTGGAGCTCTGTAGTTTTGTTCTGAATGGAGCCTGGGAGAGGAATTCCACCAAAGTCAAATATTCATGAACTAGCACATTTAATTAAGCTTTTCAAAGGGAAGCACAGTTTAACTCGGTTACTCCTGCAGGTCCTGCAGTCTGTTGGCTGCTGTGTTAAAAACTGATCCCTGGTTTCCACAGTTCATTTCTGTTAAGCGGTTTTTGGGGGCGCTCCATGAGGAATGTCTACAGTGCAAAGCTGGGCTGAGCAGGGGGAAAAGCATGAAGGCAAAGCAGTTCTGCCCCTCTGCAGGCACTCTGCCTTTTGGCACCAGCAATCCAAACACGCCGAGTCAGCTTTTCTCTATCCCCTTTTTCATCTGTCAAACTTTAGGACTGTATTGAAAACCATAAATTTCTGTTCTCAAAGAATAATGTTGGGCTGTGTTTACTTGGCTGCCAGTTTGAGAAAGTTCAGAGAGGCCAGTGTTGATTTTCATGTGCTTTTCAGCAAGTGCAAGCTCTAGAAACTCAATTTAAAACAAAGGTGAAATTCTCTTCCAATCCCATAAATCCAGAACTGAAATTACCAACTATGACAAGGACCTGAAGCAAGGCACTTCCCTCTGAAAACAGGTGATATCCCTCATTTTCTGAGGCTTTATTCATAGGTGCCTCACTGGATGAAAAATAGATGGTTAGGGTTGGCAAGAAAATTAAGATGTTTTTCACCTAGTTACACTGAATGATTTAGAACTGAATCTGTGAAGGCTTGAAATGACAGCTTGCACCAAACTCCTAACAACTTTAAAATAAGACCTTCACCAGAACACAAACTGCAGAGTAGGCTTCTGCTGTAGTTCTTGGTAGTCACCTCTTCATGGTCTGGAGTTCCCGACTCTGGGAAGGATTTTGAAGAAGGCAGTGAGCCAGCTTCCAGGCCTTAACACTCTGTTGTGTCAAATCCACTTTTAATAGGCTTGGTGTTGATAAATTTATAAACTCTGCAGTGCAAAAAAAAAAAGGTTCTGCTAAAAAGATGGAGGGGTTGCTTCAGTCTTCAGAAACGATTACTGTCATTTCAAGGCAGTGCTGACTCACCACTGACAGCAAAGGACTTTTTCCAAGCCAAAAGCCCAAAATAAAAACTTCAGAGAACAATTTCAGTTTGATTAATTCCTGCATCCGTTCTTGCAGCACACACCACTACTAAATGAAGAGAAAGGATTTGAATTTGCGTAATTGGGATCTCCATGGCAATGTGTCTGTCAGTGTGATCTGAACACCCACAGTTCACTGGAAGTAGAAGAGCTTGGCTTTTCTCCCCCATTATGCAATGTGTGGTGTTCCCCTTTTTATCAACAAACTAACACCAAAACCTGATGATGATGAGCAACAAGAACTCCAAGGTAGCTGAATTCACTACACAAAACAAATGTCTTTGAAAATGATAGCTTGAGGTCCCAGCGCAGACCAAGCTGTATCAGCTTCTGTGTTTGAATAAACTGACCCAGATCCCTTGATTTGGGATGATAACTAAGAGACATTTATCTGTAGAATTAAAAATTCTACTGACACTCTGTAACAGCTAATGTTGGATACACAAGCCCTTTTTGGCATACACAAAATGTGCTTACACTCTGATTGCTCTGAAGTCACCCTTCTGGCTTGTAACTTGAGGAGACAATTTCCTAGTGTAATGCGTTGGGGCAGCCCATAATTACCTCAGCTCCTACTCTCCTGGATTTTGACAGTCATACACCAGGGAGGAATTAGCCCTTCTTCACCTTTTCTTACCCAAAGAAGTCATTGAGTGCCAAGCTTGTCGAGAAGGTTAAAACTGTAGCCTTGCATCTGTGTATAGCACTGCTATCAAACCAGGCTCAAATGTGGAGCTGGGGAACAGGGAGAGGGAATGAGTAGGAGGTGGATGTAAAAGGTTGAATGAGTCACTGGTAGAGCACCACTGAAGTGGGCCAACGTATGAAAAGGCAAACAGCACGGCAGGACTGGGGCTGAAGCACTCACATCCTCTGTGTGTGGGTTGTGCCTTCCCCCAGCTGTGCTGCCGGGCACTCGTGGGCAGAGGGAGTGAGGTGGGTCTGCTTAGGGAGGCCCTGGGATGAGAGGAGCAGCATAGAGTCACAGAACCAGAGAATCGTTTGAAATGAAAAGGACCTTTAAAGATCGTCTGGTCCATCTCTCCTGCAGTGAACAGGGACACTTACAGCTAGATCAGGTTGCTCAGAGCCCCGTTCAGCTCGACCTTGGATGTCTTCAGGGTCAGGGCATCCTCCACCTCTTTGGGCAACCTGTTGGTGGATGATTTCCTGATGGCCTTTGCTGGAGGCCCCTGGACTCGGGGAGCTCCTCTCCAGCTGAGCCAGAAGTTTGGTGGCAGCCAGAATCTGCTTGCCTTTTCCCAGGAGGCAGAGCTGGAACGCCTGGAGAGGGAGTTTGCCATTCAGTCCCAGATCACAGAGGCTGCCCGGCGCCTGGCGAGTGACCCGAATGTCAGCAAAAAGCTGAAGAAGCAGAGGAAGACATCCTACCTGAATGCACTGAAGAAACTGCAGGAGATCGAAAACGCCATCAATGAGTATCGCATCAAATCTGGAAAGAAGCCAACCCAGAGAGCTTCCTTGATCATAGATGGTAAGTGGGGCTCAGCACCCACAGCACTCCAAAAGGGTACATGGAGGACAACGAGCAATAATTTTGGCCTTGTTCTCATATTTGACATATGAGATTCTGCTCCCCTTCTTGTCTCTCCTGTCCAGAGGGCCCTGGGGGTGCTGAAGTTGGGTTATCCTCTCCATGTGCTGTCAGATGGGCATCTGGGATCTGTGTTGGGATATCTAGGGGCATGCTGGCTCACAAGACAAGACACAGGATCATGCCGTAGATTACAAGGATATCAGAAAAGCAGACTGTGACTCCTTTGTTCACCTATAAAATCGCTCTGTTAACATCCCTGGAGTAATACTGTACAAATGTAATTAATGTTAGCAGATTGGGGTGAGCTCTCTAGCTGAAAGGCATCTGTAAAATCAGAGTGGTGGCAGTGTCATTGCTGTGTTCAAATGCTTTTTTTCTTTTTATGTTTTTACAGTGTAATTCTCAGGGTGCTTTATGGTTTACTGGGTTGTTGATTGGTTTTTCATGAAATCCATTAACTTTCTGTTGTGGTTCTTTCTCCCTTGCTGAATTTGCCCTTTCTCTTTAACTTACAGAGCTTTCTCTGTGCCTTTGTAGCAGGAGCTGAGATTAGAGCTGCTGTATTTGTGACCTGGGTACCAAGTCATGCTGCAGGCAGGGATGACAGACAGCTGTGAGGACACGGATGGGGGAGGCAGCTCATACATGCATGCCTGGAACACGAGAGTTTCTGCATCTGCTGTTGCAGAGGATACTCAGAAAGTGTTTCCCTGAATTACACAGAGCTGGTACCTAGTGTGGGCCTTAAGGCCCAGGATCTTCAGCAGACAAAGTCTGCCTGCTGGCAGGTTGCCATTTCACATCCGCTGGGGATCTCAGCTCACTGTTGTGACTCAGCCTTAATCCCCATTAATTGAAAAAGAGTTAGCAGCTCCTTGAAAGGCAGCCTGCTAGCAAGAGGCCTGGCCTACAGCTCAGCCCTCAGACTGAGTGGGCTGAGGCAGTTATTTATAGGAATATCATTGTCTCGTGGCTTTGAGGAGAGGAAGGTGTGGGTGACTGCTTAAGGCCAAGAGCTGGTTGAAGATCACGGCACGGTTCACAGTTTGGTCAGTGCGATTCTCGTGACCCTCTGACCATCTTTTTCTTCTCCTCAGAAGGAAACATTGCCAGTGAAGACAGCTCCCTCTCGGATGCCCTTGTTCTTGAGGATGGTATGTTGGCTGCTGTATGTTCTAGAGGGCAGGAAGGAAAAGGGGAGGGATGTGTGAATTCCTGATTGATGCTCAAAATGGGGGGCCTTTTCTTTGTAATGATCCATTCAAACTTGCTAGTACCGAAAACATTCTTGCCTGCGAGCAAGGCATGATGCTGTCCCATGAAATAGGGCCAGCACTGAAGATCACATAGCCATCACCTCTTTCCCTTCTTCTCTTGACAGAGGATTCTCAGGTCACCAGCACAATATCCCCTCTCCACTCCCCACACAAAGGACTCCCACCCCGGCCACCCTTGCACAACAGGCCTCCGCCTCCGCAGTCACTGGAAGGCCTCCGCCAAATGCATTACCACCGCAACGACTACGACAAGTCCCCCATCAAACCCAAGATGTGGAGCGAGTCATCCTTGGATGAGCCCTATGAGAAGGTCAAGAAACGCTCCTCACACAGTCATTCCAGGTGAGCCAGCTATCTCCAGTCCTTATCACACAGACATCCTCCCAGACGGAATGTCTGTGAATCCTTACAAAACCATCTCTTACCAAAAGGAGACATGCAGGCTTTGGAGGTAATATAGATGTGATAAAAAGCAGGCTGCGTTCACGTGGCGTGACTCAGAGCAGCATCTGACCCCACTCCCACTTACTCTGGAGATCACAGGCATGTGCCTGGGACCTGGAATAAGGCAGGGAGCCCCTTCCCCAAATTCCTTCCCAGGAACTGAAGCCAAGTGTTTGCTCTGCAGCAATCACAAGAGGTTCCCCAGCACCGGGAGCTGTGCTGAGGCAGGGGGGAGCAGCTCCCTACAGAACAGCCCCATCCGGAGCCTTCCCCACTGGAACTCCCAGTCCAGCATGCCCTCGACGCCGGATCTACGGGTACGCAGTCCACACTACGTCCACTCCACACGGTAAGTTCTCCCAGCTCCACAACAGGCTCACTTTGCTTGCCCTAAAATAACTGTGCTTTGCTTTATCCATCCCCCAGGATATTCATTAATTCGCCATTCAGGAAAGGACACAAAGCAGGCCTATTCATACCAGATGCTTGAGCCCTGTTGTTACCATAGAATCTCTCCTGAACTGAGATACTGAAATCACCTCAGTTAAACTTGATCCTGCCCCTTATCTCCCCCCTCAAAGTAATGAAGCCTTTCTTCTACTGGAACTCCTTGTCCCACTTACTGTTTATAGGCCCTATAAACCACACACAACCTTCAGAAGAGATGTGATGATAGTGCTAAACTGCAGTAAAGTCCTTTCTGGCTCCAGCTGGAGATAACATACTGTTTCATTTTTTATACAAAATATTAGGTAGAAGTACTCTCTCATGGTGGCATATAAAACGTTTATATGTGTGTGCTCTCATGCGGAGAGAGGCTGCACAAAGCAGTCCACCCAAGGACCCAGGTGACAGTGACATAATCCCAGGGTTGACAGGAAAGACTTCAAATCGTAGTGGTGATTTGACGTTCATGGCCCAATTTAATCCCAGTTTTTACCAGGAACTGTTCAGCTTCATTATTATTTTGCTCCTGAGGTAAATTTCATGGACAGTGAGAGAAGCAGAGCTGAGCCAAAGCTGTATGCTGTTAGTGGTAGTGCTAGCATCCTGTAGCATGGCATAAATCAAGAGCAATGCCAGCACATCAGACTCAGACAGAAATGATGCAAGGTATCAAGGCCCTTTGTTACAATGGTTACAAATTTGAGGCTGAAAATGACTTATAAGAGCACAGTGTTAAGGCTGGAGCTAAGCTGCATGAGAAACAAGCCTGGCACCGTGCTTGAGAAGACCTTGACCAGCTAGGGGCTGTTTGGGTGTGTGCAACAACCATTGCTAGGTCTGCTGCATGCCCCAGCCTTGGCCATCTGTCATTCGGGTGTGTAACTCCTCACAGGGCAGTGTTCCTGCTGCTTGAACGGATGGCTGAAGCTCTCCCAGCAGCTGGGGTGAACAGAGACCACCCAGGCTTGGCCATGAATCAAGCCTTGTAAATATGTGATTCCAGGTGGATGCCTCAACAGCAGTCACCCACTGACTGTATTACACATGTAACCCATGGCTGGGCCCCAGTAAAACATAGCTGCTTCACAAAGGTGGCATTTTCAAAGGGTAGAGTCACTGTGTTTCGGGCTAAATATGGGCAATCTGTCCTTTTATCTCTGCCACTAATTTCAGAAAAGGTACAAGTCGAATTGCAGCTGTGCAGGGGATTCACAAGCTACTTGCAAGGGAATCCCACCACTGAGGCGATGGCAGGATGGCAGCACCAGGATGGTGCTGGTGCAAACAGCTCTGCCATGGCTCTGCCATGAGCTCACCAGTTTTTGTCCTTCATGCTGGATCCTTCCCATCCTGGCAAGTCACAGAAGAATTGAGCTTGTAGATTGAATACTACCAGCAAGGAGAATGGATAGGAGCCAGACTTGGACCTAACTGTCCCAAACCCAACAGCAGGGAAACAGGTTGCTCTGCAGCCAGCAGCCCCATGCAGAACCGGAAGAGCTGCCCCCAAATTCCCTTTCCAGTGAGACCAAACATGTGTGCAGAAAGGGAGAAGTGCGTTGTCCTTGTGACTTACCAACTTGAATGTTTTCCTGGTACCTGCAGGTCAGTAGACATCAGCCCGACCAGACTGCACAGCTTAGCTCAGCACTTTAGACACCGGAGCTCCAGTTTGGAGTCACAAGGCAAGCTCCTCGGCTCAGAAAATGAGACAGGGAGCCCCGATTTCTACACCCCAAGGACTCGTAGCAGTAACGGCTCTGACCCCATGGACGACTGCTCATCCTGCACCAGCCATTCCAGCTCTGAGCATTACTACCCTGCTCAGATGAACCCCAACTACTCCACCCTGGCAGAGGACTCCCCATCGAAAGCCAGAGAGCGGCAGAGGCAAAGGCACAAATCAGCAGGCAACCTGGTCTCTTCCAATTCAGGGAGCATGCCCAACCTGGCTGCGAGGAACGGGACAGGGCACCACCGGGTCTACCTGCACAGCCAGAGCCAACCCTCTTCCCAGTACAGGATCAAAGAGTATCCCCTCTACATCGAGGGCAGCTCCACACCCGTGGTGGTGCGCAGCCTGGAGAACGACCAGGAGGGACACTACAGCGTGAAAGCACAATTCAAAACCTCCAACTCCTACACGGCGGGGGGGATGTTTAAGGAGAACTGGCATGGGGACGAAGCGGATTCTGTTCGGCTCACCCCCTCCCGCTCCCAAATCATAAGGACTCCATCTCTGGGCAGGGAGGGCCACGAGAAGGGCTCGGGTAGGACTGCCGTGTCAGATGAGCTGCGGCTCTGGTACCAGCGGTCCACAGCCTCCCACAAGGAGCACAGCCGCCTCTCGCACACGAGCTCCACTTCCTCGGACAGCAGCTCCCAGTACAGCACATCTTCTCAAAGCACCTTTGTGGCGCACAGCAGGGTCACGAGAATGCCTCAGATGTGTAAAGCAACATCAGGTGAGAGCCCGTCCTGGGTGAGGGGGTGAGGGGCCGGGGGGCCAGGGGTTTCGTGCAGCCCATTTTCATGCCAGGCCTGGAAGACAGGGAGGAACCCAAAGCCGTGCCTCTACTGAGTCTTTCCTCAGCGTGCGGTGGGTTTTTGGTCAAACTCAGAGAAACCACAGTGTAATCACTTTTAGTAAGAACAGCGAGGGGACCGATGGGGCACACAGGGCCTCGGTGCCATCCAGGAGAATGTGTGCCCATGGTGAAACATTAAAGGCACGAGGAAGGTTAAGAGTTCAGTGGGGACAGTGTCCCAGCCCTGCAGAAATGTTTGCGTGATGACATCTCTTTGCACTGCTGATACGTGGCTTTCCCATGCAACTCCAGTAACTGTGCTGATAATATTCTGAGATTCAGTGCTTGAGTTTGTGCAGTAATATATCTGTCATGTAGAGCTTTGTACATCTCTGTGCTGTTAATATTCAACAGTAAGAAAGCAGCCAAATAAATTAACCCGAACAGTTACAAAACAGACCAAGGTGAAATAGTTACTGGCCATCAGTCACCATTGGACAGTCCAATCTGTAGGTATCAAGGGCATGCTAAAAACATGAACCCAGCCCAGTGGAGATGGAGAGCTGCTTAATCAGAATCTGTGCCATTTTTCCCTTCCTTTCTTATGCCTTAAGCCACTGCCCAAGTACCTCATAGCCTTGAGTGCACCAATGCTCACAGCTGCCTGGTAAGAGGGTGATTTATGTTTTGTGCTTGTAGAAGGCCTGCATGTACACCAGGACACAATCAGGCAATTGCTGGCACCATTCTGTGTCTCAATATGAGAAGTAGTCTTCCCTCCTTTAATTAATAAGCCTTTCTGTTCCTGCCAGCAACAAGAAATACATGAACGCTCAGGCTTTGTTTTGCTTTGGTTTGAGAGGCATACTAATTCAGTTTGGAAATCTAGAAAGCATAGTGAGGGAGTTCAGGGGGGCAAGACACTGCCATTCAGTCTGTTCTCACACCCAGGGGGTCTTCGAATCTAAATGGGATGCCTGGGCAGCACCCATGGCTTGCTGTGACCATCCAGCAGTACGGGCTGGCTTTGCATTCTCAGTCAGTCCCACTTAAAACTATGGGAGGATACTGACCCAGGGGACTGACAGCTGCAGGGAGCAGATTAAAATTTGTTTTCCTCTTCAAGTGCCATTTGGCAGCAGCTGAAAAAATGAACAGCACAGAAGGGGATGCCAGGTAGAAACATCTATCGTTTAGCTAATTGGCTGTAGTCGACACATATCTACTGGACTTCATGCTGTCCTTTAAAGAGGATTGCACTTCTGGGCAGGTATTAAATTTGGAGAGTGAATACTGCATGGACTTGAGGAGAAAGAAAAATGGGTGAGTTGGATATCTTTGCCAGACCCTCAGTGAGGAACCCCCTGAGAACCACTGCCAGTGTCGGATTTTTAGTCTGTCTTGCTTCTTGCTTCATGAAAGTCAGATAAGCCTTCCTTTGGGCCCATACCACTAGGGTCAGCAAAGCCAAACTTCACCTTATTACAACTGCACAGTGAGGTAGTGTTAGCTTTTGTAATCTCTAGAGCTGTCTTCCTCCTTTGCACATGAAGCAGTGTACCAGTACCAGTACCAGCCCTGCCTCCTCAGGAAATGGAGCATCTCCTGTGCTCTCACACCCCTGGCAGCAGGACACGACCTGAGGTCATGAAGATATACAGCCATGTTCTGCTGTCCAGATAGTGGTGACAGGAACAAAATCAGTCAACTCTCACACTGGGAGAGATGCTGAATCTTCCAGACAGGGCTGAAACAGCATTCCCACAGAGCTGAAGATTGATGCAGCCCATGACACACAGCAGGACCAGTACCAGGCAGGCTGCTCCTACGCCATATTCAAGCTGGATGAGTTCTGACTCCCTGGCCGTGTTTACTCACAGCTGGACATGTTTCTGCTGGTCTGATCAGCCCATGGTCTGAACCACCCTAGCCCTTGTGCCCTCACCTCACCAGCTCTTTTTCTCCACCCTTTCATTGTTTTTCAGCTGCCTTACCTCACAGCCAGAGGAGTTCAACACCATCGAGTGAACTTGCAGCCACACCACCGGGCAGTCCCCACCACATTCTTGCATGGCAGACTGGGTGAGTGTCATGGGGATTGGGTGAGAGGATTCATCTCATTCAGTGCAGGAAGCTGAAAGCTTGCTAGCCTCAGGAAGAACCTCCCAGCACACAGGCAAAGGGAGAGCACAGGTACAGGGAACATTTTGCAGGTGCTCAGTAGCCCACGCTTGCACCAGGCGTGTCCAGCCTGCCACCAGCTGGTCGCTTTGGGCTGACCGAGCTCGGCAGTGCCACCTGCACCCAGCAGCACTGCTCCCAAGCCATGCTGGATGGGCAGTGGAAGAAGCCTTGCAGGTTCTTCCCGCTTGGGCACCATCTCCTTCCTCCAGCTTTCTATCAGTCAAAACAGCTGGTCTTTCTTTTAGCAAACATGCTGGCTGTCCAGCCTGAGATCTCTGTTGTCATGGCAGCATTAGGTGCCTACCATATTCGTGTGTGCAGCACCCACATTTTACTACAAGGTTTTCTCCAGTAATGTGACCTAATGACTATGAAGTGGAACTTTTTTCAGCTACCACTAACTTGGTGTGCTTCACCAAAGCATGAGTGAGTCGTTAGGTGCAGGTAGCCATTACTCGTGTAAATACAGTAATTGGGTTCTTGGGCACACCTCCTTGTGAGGCCAGGAATTCAAGGAGCAAACAAAAAGCCTTTTGCAAGCTCTCCTGAGTGTTCTCTAGCAATCTTCTGTAATTCTGCCCTGTCACACGAAATAAAGATCACTTCCAGATCCCATCTAACTCAGCGCGCCCCAGATTTTTACAATTAAGTTGGGTTTGGTGAACACCGCTAGAAAGTTTCCAGCTAACGTCCTCAAAATCCCATCAGCCCTGGAATAAGAGAACAGATACAATCCCCTGAGCTGTGAGCAGGGACTAGGAGAGTTAACTCTGTAAACATTTCACTGTGCAGCCACTGGAAAATCTCATCCTCTTTAATTTCTTTGGTCACCTATGACCAAATTTGACCTCTGGTTGTACTCCAGCACCGTCTGTGAGTGCACTTTGAAATGGAGATGAGGGGAACTGTAACCACAAACCTCTTATGCCTTCTTTGAATTTTAAATTCACACATTTGACATCCAGCCTCACATGGTGTTTGTGTTTGCCTCCAGCTTCAGTATTTTTCAGGGTCCATTTCACAGAAAGTCAAGGGATCATAAGATTGGCAAAATGGCAGCTGTGGTGACTGCATGCTGAAATTTCCACTAGTAAGGGTTTTAATCAAGACTCAAATCTTTGTGTCTGTCTCCATCCCAATCCTATATCCTCTGAATATCTCTATGATAATCAGGAGTAAAAGTGGTTTGCAGCCAGCTGAGGCGTCTGCTTCCAAAATCCCAACATTTCTTAGTTGGGACAACAACTGCTCCCTGTCTCTCACAGCAAAACACCATCAAGGCAAATTCTTAGCTGGTGAGTGTGAAGTTCTTCAGATTTATAACTTAGTTTGTGTACCAACAACCCGTGCAGAAGGAACTGGAGACAAATCAGTACTTGTTTCATGCCTGAGCACAGTCCCAAGCACATGTATAAATATGGTAGAGGCGGACAAAGTTTGCCATCAGAAGCAAAACACAAACTCCCCCACCACAGGAACAGGTTGTTCCCTCCCATTGTGAAGGAAAAGATTTACAGTTGTCCCTGACATGTTTTTGTGCCACTAACTCTTGTTCTGAAGATGATTCATCAACTTGTTTCCCCACTGGATTAATAAGCTCATAACAATGTCTGTGTCATTTCTTTTCTTTAACATTTCCTCTCTCCTCTTTCCTCCTTTTTTGCTCTCCTTTGTTCAGAGAAGCAACAGACAACTCACCCACTATGGATGAGTCTCAGTCTCCAACCCACCAAAGTACTGATGAATAGAGGTATAGTAAGGGGATGTTTTGTTCTTTCATCCTTCTGCCCTGTAGTCCATGTTCCACGAACACAATGCGGCATCCCACCGTCCCCGAGGAGCAGCTGTGTAATTGTGTGCCTGTTTGGCAACAAGGCTTCTTTCAGTCCTTGGAATAGCAGCTCGGAGCCCTGTCTGTGCCTTTTCAGCACGTTTGTGGCTGTTGTGCTTTCCCCAGTGAAACAGGACTCCTTCCTCCGCACGAGTGGGCCTGGGGCCAGCCACTGCTGTGAGCGTTCCTGCAGAGGCTGAACAGGCACAGAGAGCAGGGACACGTTCGTGGCTGGGATGTCTCAAAGCAGCGTGGGCAGAGTGCTGTGGGGAGATGAGCACGGGTGGGTGGGGACCTCGGGGAGCTGGGCAGAGCTCCAGCAGTGCTGCAGCCATGGCACCGAGTGCCCCTTGCTCCTTCATCCGTGCTGCAGAGCCGTGCAGGCTGTCTGCAGCAGTGAGGCTTCACGGAGAGAGGAGCAACCCTGGCCCAGTTCCTGTGAGGAGGCAGAGGGGGAAGGGTGGAGGGAACAAAAAACCCTTAGAATTGTTCTGTTTTAATTAAACTGCAGTCACCGTCTGACGCTCTCATTTGAATCCACAGCCATTCACAGCTGGCATCTGTTGAGTATTTCAAGCCCGGCTCTCTGGAGATAACCCATAAACCTCTGTACTCCAGCAGAGAGCTGGGAAACAAAAGGCTCTTTAATGTGCAGCCGGGTCGTGGCCTTGCTTAGGTTCCTCCCAGACATCAGTCCCAAGGAAACCAGGTGGAAAACGGGAGAGAGGAGGCAGGAACTGCTGGGCTGCATCAATGTGAGCTCAGTCCTGCGAGGTGGGGAGAGGGGGCAGGGAGAGAGAATCCCACAGGAAGCAAAGTGCATTTCCTGCTTCTGGCTTCCAAACAATCTGAGATTTGGAAGTTGGTTCAGATCAAAGCTTGAGAGGGAGATCAATTCTGAATGCTGTTATGCAGATATAGCAGCCATTTTTCAAAATCTCAACAAGGTTTTGACCTCAGTGTTTTCTTCTCGCAAGGAGCTCGGTAGAAACTGAGCCAGGGGCTGACCCTGACCTGAGCCCTAAGATAAATGGCAAATTCCCATCACGTCCCTCATCTCCTCTGTGCAAGCAAACAAAAAGCCAGGCAGGAAAAGAAACTGTAGCTTGTCAAGGGAGGCACCCCAAGACCAGGCTGCATGTGACAAAACATGGTCCTTTCCATAGCATACTTGACACCCTCTCACACATCACCAGGTTTTGCTGCCTCAGCTGCAGACAGCCACGTTGCTCTGGCACTGCTGGTGATGCAGAGCCTCTGCCGGAGCAGAAATCCCAAGGACTGTCTGTGAGGTGCTGCAGGAGGGCACCCTGACCCTCCCCCTTCTCACTGGGTGTTATGGCCAGGAGCTCTTCAGATGTGCTTCATGGAGGGCCACCTCAAAATGCTCAGCCTTCTGTCTGTCTCCAGGTTGCTACAGGGAGTGGGACTGTTCATAAAATGATGTTTTGTGCCCACGATTGAACTCTCCAGCAGTTCTCATTGCCCTAACAAAAGTTTCCTTTCTCCTGCAGGACTTACAATGATAGCTGTTTCCTGGATTCTCCCCTCTATCCAGAATTAGCAGATGTCCAGTGGTATGGACAGGAAAAAGCCAAGCCTGGGACTCTAGTGTGAACCCCTGACCTCAAATTAATCACATCAATGCCATTCTGAGATCACCTCACTGCCTCTCATTTGCCTTACCCAGATGCACTGTCACCCAGCACCAGCTTCAACTCTAAGCACTTTCCTCACGATGCAATTCCAGATGACATTACAGAGCATTGGCCCTGAGACGTCCACCACCACCGTGCAGGATGGCAGCGCGTCCCATCGCCAGCCCAGCACACGTCCCTGCAGAGCCTGTGCCACGGCGGCTGCAGTCAAGGCACACGTGTGAGCAGCCATCTCAGCAGCTGGCAATGGAAAAAATGATTTTTTTCCTTTCAAACGACGGGAGCCTGTCCAGGCTTACATCAGATCTTGCTGTTCTGTGGCATGTAACGGCAGTCAGATTTCCATGACCTGCAATCTGATCCAACAGAGTATTAATTTAATGGGGGGGGGGGGGGAAGGGGTCGATACAAATTGGGACAGAAGCTGAGAATTACTCCTGAAAGCGGTTCTTTCATGAAAAAATACAAAAAAAAAAAAAAAAAAAGCAAAATCCTCTCACTTCAAATACATCTAAGAGTCTCGCAGTCAGATCAGTGCTGCCAAAATCACCCAACCAGTGTCAATGGGATGAGTTTGTTCTGCGAGTTCTCGCTACAAGAACATCTCTTGTTTAATGACAGACACAACCACCTCCTGCAAAACAGCATTTCCTTCTTTGCTTCGAGCCCATCCAAACAGAGCCCCACGCACTGAAGACACTCTGGAGGTCTGGGTTGGTATCACAGCATCTACAAGCTACTATCAGACTGGACAAACGAGGTGTACAAAGGATTATCTGCAGCAGAGGCAAGAACTGTTCCTCACAGCAGCTCCGTGGCTGGCAAAGCTGCGTACCAACACACAGAGCTTAGGGTTGTGCTGTTGGTTTTCTCAAACTCTGAGGAAGATAAGAATTGTCCAAAAACCTTTCCACAAGCAGATACAGCCAATGAATTCTAACCTGTCTCTGCAAAAATGTTAACATCAAATCAAAGGGAAAGCACATCACAATCTAATTGACACGGTGAAGCTGCATTAACATATCTGTTCCAATTATCTCACCTTGGTTAGCACCAGTGTAGCAAAGGGCTCGTCACCACCAGCGCACCGCTGGCTGGGAGAACCGGTCTGTCAGGAAGCACGGGAGCAGCTTGGGTTTAGCAAGCAGCAGACGAAGCAAAATTTCACATGGAAAGCAACCACAAGAAAGAGAAGTGACCGAGCGAGGCGTTCAACGCGAGCAGGAGCTGCCTACTGACACCACAAGGAATTGGACGGGGGAGTCGTGGAAGGAGCTGCAAGTTTACACTTACCTTTGAGCAATGCTTTATACATGTCAAGCCATGGAACTTTCAAAGGCCTCAAAGACACTTTTGTAACGAACAAGTGCACAATCTCGGTGGATGTTGAAGCTGGCACGTCTAGTCTTCACTGCGGTGCTATGCTGTTTTTATTGCCACTAGATGGGGGAGGCGCCCGGCCGGCCCCCGTTTGCGCGTGCAAACGATGATTTCCTATGGGAAAGGCATTACAGAAACGGCTGGAGGGGGTGACTTAGTGAAAAGCAGAAACTGAAGTTAGCTTTAGTTGGAAACAAAAGGAAAGTGCGAGTGTGTGCGTGTTCCAAGAATAACAGCAGCGTCTACCAGACCGAGTAGGGCAAAACGTTCAAAACGAAACGCCGTGACTTGGGGGCTGCCACACCTTTCGGCATCAGGATTGCTGGAAAACTGCATTCCAGGCTTTAAAAGAGAATGGGCTCTTCGTAATTAGACTTGGAAAGATGGTGGGCTTTCTAAAAATGAATGCGAGCCACTCGTGCCGATTCCTTTCCCCAGTGTGCATTTGGGATGTTTGCTTCAGCCCTGGGCCCACGCCTGCAGTTCTGCTGCCTGGCATCAGTGGCAGGGCTGCTCTGACACACTTCTCTCTGTGCTTTGGGCTTGTTAGCATGGGAATTGGCTTAAACTCCTAATTGGATTTTTAGGTGGATGGGAGATAAGCACTGATTACTGACGTGCGCTGCTAAGATTCCGTAGCTAAAGTGAAAGAATTAAATAAGGACCAAATTAAGCAACAGCAAATTAGCCCATGGATTTTTTTAGGGGCTCTGAGCAACTGTCTGTTTTCTTTTTAATTTCCTTGCTAAGTGGCTTCGGGTTGGTTGTTTTGTTTTGTTTTTTAATTATTCTTTTTCTGTGTACTTTTAATTAAAAAGAATTCAACAACAGCGGCACTACGGGGCCTCTGGGCACTACAGGAACAGTAATTCCTCCAAGACAAGATCTGCAGTTTTGCAGCAAAGGTTCAAAGGTGGCAGCCCTGAAATTAGGGGAAGAAAAAACCAAGTCAGCCTGAATTGCAAACAGGCTCGAGTCAAGAAAGAGCTTTCGAGAAATGGATTGGGTTTTGCTTTGTGTTCTGCTTTTCTGTTCTGCAATCAAGGCACACGTGAGCAGCCAGTCTGGTAGTAAAGACAGATTAAGTAAAACAGGTTTTACTGTTTAGCTCAATTCAATTAAACACAAATGTACATACAGTGTTAATCATATGAGATTAACATAGTGAAGTATAACGCGGAGGGGTGCACACCCAGCTGTTCTATACGAGCACTTGACGAGCGACGTCAGCCTCCCTTCCTTTTTTGTTTTTCGAGGCTCCATCTGCCATGAAGCCACCGTTGCGTTCTCAGCCTCCCCGTCTGCAGGTGCCTCTGGATGGGCAGCAGTGTGGCACGGCCCCGCGCCGCGCTCTGCTGTGGGCAGGGTTTCTTTTTAAACGCTGTGAGATGCAGTCGAGTGTTGGAAATGTTGAATCAGTCCCATTTGTTTTCACTCTGTATTAGTTTTAGTTCCAGGCGTAGCCGATCCCCATTCAGGTGCTATCAGATGACCAGTTACTGCTTAGTTACCTAGATGTAAAGTTTTACATATATATTAATGTCAATAGTTTTATTACCAGTTGTGTAAAACGGACTCTCTAGTTTAAGAAAAAGAAAAAAGAAGGAAAAAAAAAACAATTAGGTCTCTCCTGAAATTGACTTTAGAGCATGTAAAATGATTTTACTGGATTCTGTTAAACTGTAATCAAGGAAAAGATATGTATGTTGTAGAAAAAGTTGCAGAATTAAAAAAGATCTGCTTTTAATTTATTCTTTTTGTATTAAGAATTTGTATAGTTACCTTTACATTTTGCAAAACGGTGTTGTCAACACTTCCTTATTAAAGCATTTTCAAAATGAAACCTCGCCGTGGTCTTTTCAACCCAAGGAATCCCTTCCATGCTGAGCAGCGGCGCTGCAGGGAGCACTGAGCCTTGCCCAAAAACAGCTCCTCACAGACCCTGAGGGCACAGGGCTGCCTGCAGGCTGGGCTCCGCTGCTGCTCTGCTGGGTTCTCTGAGTGAGAGGGCTTTGCACTGCGACAGCCATTGCTGCGTGCTGGGGACAGCAGCGATCCCAGGCACTTCCCAACCCGCACAGGCTCTCCATGCAGGCCCCACCACTTCCCAGCACGGTCCCTTCCCCTTCTTCCCACCTCCTCTCGTTGCCCAGGACCCCGCAGTGTCTGTCTGGGAAGCTCCTTACCACCAAAACCCCTCCGTGTCACAGGGAGACCTCAGCTGCACCAAAGCGGGTTGAGCTGGGAAAGCAGCTGACCCTCATCCAGCATCATTTGCTGGAAACAATCTTCTGTAGCAAACGTCTGTCGGGTTGGAGCAGGGCAAGATGGCCGTGCTAAATGTCTGATACCATCCTGGCTCTGGGGATCGGTGTGGTGTTACTGCAAGAGCTGGGCAGCCCGCTGCTCTCCTCCAAGGCAGAGCAGCAGCTCAGGAGTTTCATGGCGTCGGTGCCTCTGCATCTCCCCCCCCGATGGTGCTTCCCCAGCAGGGACGCAGACAAGAGCGGTGATGCTGACAGCTCACACCGTGCCAGCAGGACGCGGGTCAAGCAACCCACACGTAGCTCTGTCACCACTGCCAGCAACATCAGAAATTGTCTCTATCTCAACCGAGCTCATCTTTGGTTGACTGGATCTACCATAGAGACTGAATGGCAACCAGCGTTACAGAACCTCATTTTGCAGTCAAATTAGAATCATCAAGGTTGGAAAAGACCACCAGCCCGCCCATCAGCCCGTCCCACCGTGCCCACAGCCCTCAGTGCCACATCTGCCTGCTTCCTGAACGCCCCCAGGGACGGTGACTCCACCACCTCCCATGCAGTCAGTGCCAATACCTCACCGCTCTAAGAAATGTTTCCTAATACCCTATATAATATCCTATATAAACTCTTCCACACTCTCAACATCTGCCCAACTTGTCCCCACAAATGCCCCTAATAACCTCACTGATCCCACATGCACTATCCAAAGAGCCTTTCTAGCAGCACAGACCAAAAGCAACCAAGGACTTAAAGGCACATCGCCACCATCAGGCACGAAACCAAGCAGAAACAAGAAAGTGGTATCAGCCAGGCCATGGAGGAGCGGGGAGCTGCACTGCAACCAGGAGCTGCTGGGTCCTACTGCACTGGGTCCTAGACTGAAGTCCTAAAAGCACTCCTGACATTTCTGTGGTGAATGCATGACTTCACCCCAAGACATTGGATTGCACCTGGCGAACGCAGCAGTTATCAGAAATAAACATCTGCACAAGTCCAGGGGGAAAAGTCAGAATCTCTGAAGTGAAACACGCCATCCCCACAAAACCTGTCCAACAGTTGCACAGCTGCACCACACCCACTCGTCCTTACACTTCTCTTTGATAAAAGGCGTTATGAAGGATTGGAGCACGGTCTGCTAGCTGGAGCTGGGGCCATCCAGCTGCACAGAGCCTCAGAGCAGCGATGAGGAGCAGTTGCCATGACAGTGTTCCTCTTGTGATCCCCCCGGGGAGCAAAGCTGGCTCTCACGTGCCGGGCAGCTGGAAGCTCTTACACAGATATGCCGTGAGAAAGCACTTGGGTTTCTTGGTTCCACATGCGGCACCATTCCATGGATTGCAAGGGGATAAAAGCTCTTCCGCCATGGGAGCCATTCAGCCAAGGCGGCTGTATTTCAGGGACTGTCAGCAAGAAGGCGTGCTGCTTAAATTGCATTCCTCGAGCTTGATTAGACTAAAGCATTCCAAGCCCAAATTCACATCCCTACAGGAGGCTCATCCCCATTCAAACCAGTGCTCAGGGTACCATTAAATGGCTCCTTAATAATTTGCTCTAAAGCGGGAGGGAAAAAATCTATTTAACACTATTATGGCTGCCCTAAGGAATCCAGTTCCCACTGAAGCCAACGTTACAGAGCTCCCAAACCAGCCCTCGGCTCTCGCTGCACTTTCCAGGGAAATTACAGCTCTTAAATGAAGACAAAATTGTATCTCAATTAGTTAAAGAGTTCAAAACGAAGGTCAGGGTAAAGATTTAGAAACAGCTCAGGAAATCATCTGGGTGGGGAAAGGGATAAAGTTGCGGTGTTGTAAATGTTTTCTGTTGTAAAAATGCTCTCTCTACACTGCAAAAGAAATCCCCAGGCACCAATGTTAATGAAACTCTTCCACGCTCTCAACATCTGCCCAACTTCTCCCCACAAATCCCCCTCTGTTTCCCAAAGGCCCCCCCAGGCTCCACTTAGACCTCGTCAGCCTCATTTTTATTACTTCTAAACTGTTTAAACTCTTGACATTTTCGCTGCGGTCAGACGCACCAGACTGAAGGACCTGTAAGTCAGAAGCAGCCCTTCAGAATGCAGAGCCTCCAGAAGAATCTGAGGAAGCTCCTTGAGATAAGCCAAGCCAGCACACAGCCCCAGCATCGGACCTCGCTGTGAACACCTGCTCTAAACTCCTTCAACAAGGGCACCAACAGCTCAAGAAGAAATTCAACATCCAGCAGAACAGATCTGTGCCCGCTACAAATGCTGTACCTGGGCATGGGGGGCCCTAATTATGTTCTCTGCAATGCCCAGCAGACTGGAATTTTCTCCAGATGTATAAAAACAGGATTTGGAAGCCTGAAGAGCCACAAGATAACTTCTCCCCAGCTCAGGAGGTTTATATTAATAATGCCATTATACAACAAAAAAAAACAAGCCAAATCAGATGTACTCAAGATCAAAAACTCTTTCCACTGAAACTGGGTGTATTTTTCAGCTGAGAAATATATAAACTTCTTCTTTCCCCACAAATACCACATGAAAGATTTGCCATTAAAATCTTCCTATTTACAGAAATAACAAGACTGAAGTTTGACTGCTTCCCCATCTTCCCACATCAGCCTCCAGTGGGAAAGCAGCCAACAATCTCCACACGGCCTCTGAGTCTCACCTACAGCTCCGAGGCAGAACAGATTGGTTGAGGTCAGCCTGCACAACGTTGGGAACAGCAAACTGAAGTAGAAGTGAGGGTCACAATCAGTGCCCCCTGGTCGTGGCCATCCCACCCTTACAAAGCTGGAGCTGGGATCAGGTCAGCATAAAGACTGAAAAAGAAATCTACCCAAGTGGGGCTTGTTCAAAGGAAGCCAGAGAGAAATCTGCTTTATGCTTTCTTGCAAAGCCCACCCTCAGTTTCTGTCAGTGTAAAGCACAAACTGCTCCATCTCCTCAGTGCTCTCTGAGTCCAGGAGATGACAGTGTGAGGCATGCTTGGTCACCCAGAGCCTCACAAAGCGTTGTACTCCACGCATTTCGATGGGTCTGTTGGGAAGTGCTTCTGGCAAATGGTCATCAGCCTCTTCAGCCCCTAGAGATGAACAAAACAAAGACAATTCTCTCATAAAACTGCAGCTGTCACACAGCCTATTTTTACTTTTCAGCTTAACGAGAAGAATTAAAAGCAAATGGCTGCTATTTCATTTCTTTGCTTTGCTGAATTGGTATTCCATTATTTTAAGTTTTATCAACAGTTCTCTCTGAAAAGTGCTAATTATTACAAATATGTTCAACAAGCCTAAATGCTGCATTTGGCTCCCACCAACCCCACACAGCAATAAAGGCCAGGGGAAGAGACATGGGAAGCTGCCTAGTAGAGAAGGACCTGGGGTGCCCCTCACAGCAGCTGCACACAACCAGCGCCGTGCCCAGGTGGCCAAGAAGGCCAATGGCTCCAGGCCTGGACATCTGGTTGAATCCCTTCACTGAAAGGGTGGTCAGGCATTGGCTGCCCAGGGAGGTGGCTCCCCAAGGTCTCCATCCTTGGATGTGTTTTAGAGATGTGTTGACACGGCCCTGAGGGACATGGCGTAGGGTGAGACTCTGCAGTTCAGGCTGATGGACGGATGTGGCGTTCCTGGAAGTCTTTTCTATCCTGGATGGTTGTAAGATTCTATGAGTTCAAATATTAAAGGAGTTCGTGGATTAACTGAAGAGATCATAGGTTTCATTCTTGATGATAGATTCATGGTGAAGAACCACAGCAATACTTTAAGCCCTCTTCTTCACCAAGGCAGAAAGCAATGCCATTACAACAAACCACGTGTACAATAACACTGAAAATTGAGATGTTAAGTAATTCTCAAGAGCAAAAAACTATTTCTGACACCAAAACAAGCTGAAAAACTGAGGAGAAAAAAAAACAATCCATTTCTGGAGAGCAGAGGTGTCATCCCTTCCCATAGTATTACCACACTCGATCCCACTGCAGTGGAGGAAAACAAAGGCAGCCCATGGACTTCTCAGTTCTTTCAAGACACTGATTGCCAAAAACCAACATGACAGAAATACCATCATTATTCTCTTCAAGTCACACACAGAGGTCTAACAAAGAAGGAGAGAAACTGCTGTGGTGGTAGCATAATTTGGCAATGATATTATAACTCCACAACAGCAGAAAGCAAAGTGCCTGTCATTAGATCTTCAACATCTAACTGTAAAGGAAAACAACTAGACAGAAGAGGCTTTGATATTTTCAGTGCCAGCAGGAATCTGGAAAACATGTCCTAAAACCATAAAGACTCATTGTGTGAGATGTCAGTGTTGCAAATTCACTGTGTATGATCCCAAGTTCAGTGCTGTGAGCAGAGATAATACTCCACGTGATCCAGTTTGAACCAGACCAACTAAAGAACCAGACCAACTAAAAAAGACCTTGTATTTAAAATCAAGAAGAACAAGAAGTTAAAACCAACTTTGTTTTGGCCCATCAGTAAGTTGTGTACTTCAGAAGTGTATCTACTTCACAGAGAAACAAAATGCAGAGGGAAGATGAACAAGATTTCTTTCAATAGATGCACCCTCCGAAACAGAGGG